TTCTGAGCTGATGGTCGGTGGATATGCATGACAGCAGTCAGAGCCCATCCCATGACTCGGGGTCGAAGGGAGAAGCCTTTCTTATTCACGGAGATGAGCTTCAACGTAATGGCACCAAGGTCACATCCAGAATGGAGTAGAATCTAGCTGCTCTCCAGGAGTTTGGTACCACAGCCCATGTTGTGTGTTCAAGTGAGCCAAACTATATATATACAGTATCTCTATACCTCTCACTTCTTCAGGCTCCTTAGGTTCCATGATGCGTTAATACCCCTTCCTTGTTTACTGGAGAGGCAGTGGTGAACCTGACTTTGACTTCATCAGACTTTGCTAATAGCAGCAGGACAGCAAAGGCCTTCTACATAAGCACATAGTAAGATTATTTTGCATCCCAGTTGGAAGTAAGAAGTAATTAAATCATAACCAAAAACTAAAAACGTCTCAAAGATGAACATACTTGTTTGGATAATAAAATATAAATGATTTCTGAATGATTTTCATATTTACTTTTTGCACATATGCGTTCTGTGTTCTGCTTCCACCTTCACCACTTGATGATGTAATCTCTTAAAAGAATGTTTGCACGTTATTTTAAGAAATTAAAAGTAGCGACTTTAACGTGTAGAAAGAGCTTATAGGTTGTGTAAATTTAGTATTTTAAAAAATAATTTCGTCTCAATAATGCTGCATATTAGAAATGCTTTTTCCTTTTAATTTTTCCATTTATGCCTTCAATATATCTAATGACTTGAAACATGTCTGACACCTGTTTTTGGTGAACTAAAATCCATTTGTGTCAAACAGACACCTTATTAATTAGTAAACATATTTACATGGATTTTGTTTTTCATGTTCCTGCTTTAGAATATTTATTAAAAGTGCATTGGTCTTATTTCTTTTGGTGCAGACCTGGCCAGGAACGTTGGTCGGGTGTATACAGTAAATGAAATGGAATTTTGAATTTATTGTTAGATTCTAATAATACTAAAATCTTCCACTATAATTTGTAATTGATATTATAACATCATTAATAAAATGTTTTAATGTAGCTACTGCCCATCTCAGTACCAGTGTGCACGCTGTTGTGACTGTTTTTGGTGATGACTTCTTATTTATATTACTGATAAATACTAATATGTAATAGTAATGTTATAATGCTATATAATGACCTTTTGTTTCTCATGACGGAAGTACATCTTAGACATTTATATTTGGCTCTTAATCGGTAATGATACATATTTAATATGCTGATACACAGAATCACATCAATCTTTCTTCATATTGAAATTATTAAATTATTTCAGTTTTAACCCACAGGACAATTTCTTGGTTTATATGTATGGATTACAGTTGTTCCTCTGCCTGTTTCCAAAATGATTATTCCAGCAAACATGTTCTCGGAAAGAAACACGAAACGGACATACTGAGCCGATGTGATTGTTGCAGGAAATATCTTCTGTAATACCTCTAAGGATTCCTCTTAAAATAAATGATAAATTTGACTTACACCAGTTGTTTACAAGTAAAGAAAAAGGTGTTTTCTTGCACTGGGAAAGTTTAACTTATATCTGACAGGTCAAATGGATGGGTTATTACCTCCATCCATCCATCCATTTTCCAAGCCGCTTATCCTACTGGGTCGCGGGGGGTCCGGAGCCTATCCCGGAAGCTATGGGCACGAGACAGGGAACAACCCTGGACAGGGGGCCAACCCATCACAGGGCACATTCACACACCATTTACTCACACATGCACACCTTTGGGCAATTTAGTAGCTCCAACTAGCCTCAGCATGTTTTTGGACTGTGGGGGAAAACCGGAGTACCCGGAGGAAACCCCACGACGACACGGGAAGAACATGCAAACTCCACACACATGTAACCACCATGTCACCCCTGGGTTATTACCTCAGCTAGGAAAATAAAAGCATCCAGTAAAATACCCCAGGATTGAATAACATGTCACATTGTGATTAGTGACATACAAGAGCCAGTTACACACGACTGCCATCCTTACTTTTTAGTTAAACGTGGAGATGCAGTTTTACCATTTCACGCTAGTTTATGCAGAAATTTCTGGCACTCTTCTCAATTAAATGGCACTTGCAAGGATTGATTTTGCACAAATTTGTAACTGTTATACAAGATTGGATTTGGACATGCATGGCTGTATTCTTTGAGTACAGACGACTGTAACTGAACCCCCTATTTCCTCATTCTAACAGTACATAATAGAATTTATGGTCAAAGTCTAGCTGATGGGAAAAAAAATATTTTAAATTAAAATGGCTGCACGTCACCTTCAAGTAATTTGAGATGTTGTGCAGAGATAATACAGTGTATCTTCCTGTTTGCTTTTGGCTCATTACTGATATTTGTATACTGATGTCTCTAGTTAATATGATACTGGAAAGCAGTTTCTGTTTATCTCTCATGTCCAAGATTTCTGAAGAATTTGGGAGCTCAAAGGAAGGGAATTTCAATTTGAATGCTTTACACTGGTAATGGCTATCATGGACTTAAATCTTTAAGTAAAAAAAAAAAAATTATTATTTGTTTTTTTTACCTCTGTATTAATTGTGTGAGGACTTAGTTTATCAGCTTTTAAAAGCTGCTTGGCCTATTCTGGAAGCAGCCGGAGAGGTTAAGTGTGAGAGGTATACAAATGCCTGTCATTTAGAATGCAGAGTCCGTCAGGACCCCAGCTGCGCGAGCCGCAGACGTGTGGCTGTGCCTGCGCTAATCCCGTTATCTGTGTCTCTGAAGCCGGCCCCCTTGTGACTTGGACATGGGAATTTTAAGCCGCTTCTGCCCCCCCCCCAGCCCCCCCCCCACCCCCATTTCTTCCTTTTCGCTTGCTCCAGCCAGCCCAGGGACTTAAAGGGTGGTCTTGGCATAGCCTAACGCAGAATCTGGCATTGCATTCCCAGCAAATCTTTCATTTTTTTAATTAAATCAAAACACTTTGTGTCCCGGGCGCGTGAACCTCAGTGTGTCCTGGCCGGAGAGCCGTACATCTTAACGTAACCGGCATTTTACTCTGGATGACCCACATTGATGAGAGTGGCGTACAGAATAGGGGCATCTTGTAGATTTGTGTGAACATCAGTGTCAGGCGATTTGTATTTCAAGGTTACTGACATCATCTAGGGGGAGAAAATACCCCTTTGAACTTTGACCTTATCATTCCATTCCAAGTTGTAAATGAAAAAGGAGAATGGGGCATACTGTATATAGAGGGATTATTCATAGAAAATATGTTGAAATGTTAAATCAGTTTAAGTATTGGTATTAGGTCTAAGAGGAGCTACTTTCCCCACCTTGTTAGCTGGTCCCCTTTTGTTAATGTGGAAAGTGACTAACAGCCGATTGGTCTGTACTCGGTGTATTTCAACTTGAATAACTGACATCCTGCTTTGGCATCTCCCCTTCCCTAATCCCTATTATCAGCAGCCAGCCAGATCTGCAGCTAGGTCAGGAATGAGTCTTAAGTCCATCGGCATCAATTTGCAATGCTAATGATATCATCGCCACAGCAGAATAATTGGCCCCTAAGAACTGTGTTAAATGAACCACTTTGTAGCATCCATAAAATACCCTTTTTGTCTTTGCAAAAGACACTATAGAGAAGCTTGTAAAGCTCTTCAAAGTTTACCACCCTTCAGGCATAGCTGACACATTCTAGCCACGTTGAATCATCCATCGCCTGTTCAACTTTCAATGTTATACCAAGGCAAAGGGCACAAGGACACCCAGACCCTAACCCTTACACTAATCAAAAACGACATAGGTGGTAGTTAGGTAGCTTTTCCTTTGCTGAAGAGCACTTGACTCTTTCAGAAAAGGCCTATTATCCATCCATCCTCATTCATTATGCGCTAACAAAGCAGGTCAATGGTTCTGTGCTGTCTAAAAAAAAAGGTTAAACTGGTTAGCTGCCAAACCAGCACTCACTTAGGAAAAACAAAATGTACAGATATATTAAGTACTACTGCGGTGAACAAATTAATTTTCAGATTCAGTGATGAAGAAAAAGGGGTGTTTAAGGTTGCAATCATCGGATCATTTTAATAGCAAAGTTTCAGATCGTTTGTTCGCATATTCATTATTTCTTATCTGAACACAGCAAACAGCTTGTAAAGTTCTGCTTAATGGCTGTAAATATTCAAACACAAAAACCCTATTTTATGAAATGATAAATGTGCATTTTAAAAACAAATGACAATATATACAAATATACAAATGCTGTATATTTACTATTTCATGTTAAATGTCCTTCAGCATCAGTTAGAATTTACTATAGTGTCTGCATCACGATATGCCAAAGGCAGAATCAGTGATAGAATTATTATATGATGTAAAAAAAATGTAGACACGGTTAATGGCTAATTAACAGGTGTGTCACTATATTAATTGAAATCAGCCTACCCAAATAAGGTACAGAGAGCATAAAATTGAATCGTTGCTGTGTAGACAGGAACCTCTGAGATTCTCTGTCTTAATTTGTTCTCTTTGAAAAGTACTTCAAGTGCATCCATATTCACACAAAGAAGAAAACATATGTGAATTATTCATACACAGGTCTTCACTGGAGATTCTTAAAGTTCTTTTTTTTTATTTTTCTTCCATCGGTATAAATTCAGCGTGGCAGCCATACAGTACCTGCTGCCGCTTTCTTGGGTTTGGTTTCATGCATCATAAAAGCCTTGTGTTCTTCGATATTATCAAAAAGTCCTTCTCAATAACTGCTTTAATAAATCATTGTTTTTTTCCTGAATAAATCCATTTTTTTATTTGGACCAGAAGACTAGGTCGTGCAAGGTGACTTTTAAGTTTTTAAAGACCATTTTTCCTTCTGCACAAATGTATCAAGAAATGTGATATTTTTTTAAATTTGAAAAATAGTTTGTGTATCGCTCTGGGCGAACTGGTTCCAGTCCTCGTGCCACAGAATGAGATGACGTGTCTGTCGCTGAACCCTGATGCCTTCTCATCCTGCAGGAGGTGATGCAAATGGAGAAGCAGTTGGGTGGCCGGCTGATTGATGAGCCCCAGGTCCTCCTCTTCAAAGACAGCTACCACAACCTACGCCTGTCCATTCACGATATGCCCCGAGTCCACTGGAGGAGCAAACTGATGGCTGGATATCAGGTGACTTATTCATGCAGAAGTGTTTACACTGCATCTCAGTTTCTTCACTATTCTCACCACATATTGACTTTCTAAGTATTAACATAAGAACATAAGAAATTTATAAACGAGAGGAGGCCATTCGGCCCATCAAGCTCGTTTGGGGAGAACTTAACCAATAGCTCAGAGTTGTTAAAATCGTATCTAGCTCTGATTATTGGTGCAGAGTGATCCACACTCTGTTTGAGATTCAGGTAGTGAGCATCCCTACTCCTTCAATGACTGTATCTAATACATTGGGATGTCATAGTTGAATAGTAGTGAAAAAACAGAGAATACAAACCCCACTTGAAAATTATCAGTCATCATATTTCTCATGCATCCTGGTGGGGGTCACAGTCCAGTCCCTGATAGCTGGAACAAACCCTCAGGTCCCCCCCCCTCTGTAAAATTGGGATCACCACCCCATTTCACCTATCAGAAGTACTTTACCTGCCTTCCATGCAACATTGAAGATGCACATCAGCCAAGTCACCCCAGCAACACTGAGTGCTTTCATCTAGACAAATTTCATATACCCCTGCAGCCTTCCAGATATAGCTGCAGTGGTCAACTTTCATCCAATAGAAGTTTCCAAAGCTGCTCCTTGGTGAGAGGCATATCCACCAGGTTAAGGAGTTCTTCAAAGTGTTCTTTCCACTGCTCACCAACATCTCCGGAGTTGGTCAGCACTTCACCACCCCAGCTGAGCACAGGCTGAGTAAGATTCAGTTCCCCCCTCCTCAGGAGTAGTCTCTGCATGGCTTCTCCAAACTCATCTCATGCACCAGCTTTTGCCTCAGTGACTGCCTTTGCTCAGTCTTTCTGGCCTGTTGATATCCTTCAGCTGTCTTAAGAGACCCCTATGCAAGGATTGCACTGACGGCTTCCTTCTTCAGCTTGACAGCTTCCCTCACCAAAGGTGTCCATCGGTGGGTCCTATAGGGTAACAGCCATGACAGATACCCACTGCCTACCAGCTACGACTCTTTGCAGTCACTGCAACAATTGAGGCCTTGAACATGGTCCATTCATACTTAATGCCACTGACCTCACTTGACACACAGATGAAGTTTTTCCAGAGATGTGAGGTGAATTGATCTTGCATGGAAGTTTGAGTCAGAGCAATTCCCTTCCTAGAAATCCCTGACTTGGTTGGGGTGTCTTTATCCAACTAACCTCCTCCCCATTCACCACAACTACAAAGTCAGTCATTAACCTTTAGCCTGGGGTGTGCTGTTACCATGCACACTAATGAACATTCTTGTTCAACCATAGTGCTCGTAATGAACAACCCAACACTTGCGCAGAAAGCAATTAACAGCTCACCACTCAAGGTTTGATCTAGGAGGACACCCTTCCAGAAATTTCCATTTTTCCTCACTTAATCATTGAAGTCTCCCAGTGGGACCACACAGTCCATAGATGGTACCCTTTCATCTACCCATGTTCTCAAGAAGATTCTGTACTCAAAACTGCTGTTTGGTGCATATGTGCACCTAGAAGTCACATAGAAAAGCCTGGAACTTGTAAGGAGACCCACAGGGAAAACCACTCAAAGGTCAAGGTCCTTAGAGAAAACCACTTAAAATGTTACTGTTACCATAAGTAAATGCAAGCAAGTGCAATCAAATCAAACACTATTGTGCAATTCCATTCTCCATAAAAATATACAATATTAAAAAGCAAACCAGTAATCTACGCAATCAGAATAAGAGTTAACATGTAAGAATGTGCAAATAACAAAATAATATAGCTTATAGTTTTAGGTATCTTTTTAACCAGTTCGATTCTCTGTATATCAGCACCAGTTCATTAACAAAGGCAGAACCCAGTTAGAGCATTAAAATTTTTCAGTGACATTGAGTCTGTTTTACATTTTCTTTTTTTTAAAACAGACCAAGCTTATGTGTATATATTAGGGCTTTTCTTCAACCTGAAGGTTACCTTAAGATGCTGTATCCAGGCATCTGATTAGGTGCAGGCAAAAGTGTTGCCAATGAGGCACCTTGCTGTACTTCGTTTGTGTTGGTAATACGGTAATGTGCGGTGCAGCAAAATGTTCTCTTTAGCTTAAACGAATGTTTCAGTCCTGTAATACTCCACAGACTAACACTCCAGAAATAAAAATGAAGAAAAATTACCCCCACAGCAAACACAGATCTGGCAGTTTCCCCCCCCCCCGATCTCCCCCATTTTTGGACGCACTAGTAAAATCACACACATTGAAATGGCCAGGTGGGCTGGAGGACACAGATAGGAGACCTTTGGGACCCACGAGAAGCTCTGTAATCCCTCTGGAGCAAACGACCAGCAGGACCAATGAGGCGGCAGCACAATGCTCACAGCACGCCAGCGGCCGTCCTGGGCTGCCTGGCGTCCCTCTGGAAGTGTTATCTCCCTGCTGGAAGAGCAAACAAACAGGGCTTCTCGTATCCGTTCAGCTTGGAGACTGTTCCCCTTCTAACATGCTGAAGACTGTGGACCTGTGCAACAGCGCCCCCTTTTGGCCGCAGAGTCTGCACGTCGACTCAGCTGGCTGCAGTCCCTCATTTTCTGCAGCTCCCTGGCGGATTCTCTCAGAGATCTTCACAACAAAGGCAGACATTATCACACCGCCTCGCTAATGAAAGTAACGGTACTGTAATTGAAAACCCAGTTGGCCACTCAAGGTGTCAGCTTGTCTCAGTTGGAGAGAAAAATGACCTGCTATAGCTCTCGTATAACAAGCGTGTCAGCGGCTGTTTTGCGTAGCCCGCTTACACTGTACCCCCTTCACCCTCACTGCATTCTTATGTTGTTTTTGTAATTAACACCGGAATAAATGAAGAAATACCACATTGCCGTCCTTTTTAATATAGCGACAAGATCGTACCCATCTGTATTCCACTGTCTATGAGCAACAAGCTCACTGACACAAGCGTTAGTGCTCTTTGCTAATTCAGGAAAGAAAAACTGTGTTATCCTCTCTTTTTACAATTTACCAAAAGCAGATACCGTTACTGCCGCTATTATGGTACTTATCATCTGGGACATCCATACCTTTTTTGTGCTGGATAAACAAACATAGACCCAAATGTGTTCAAAATAGTTTCGTTGAGCTTTTGAAAATTCAGTGGCTGAGAATTTCATAGTTACATGAGTTATAATAAAAGACCATAACAGTCTGCATACACAAAGTACATATTAAACACACTGCAGTTGTTGCCTGATTTGTATTCATATTTGATGCTTTGTATGTCAAATCCTTTAGAGATTTTTAATGCTCAGACACGTACAAAATTCACATTATTCAGTGACTCACTGGAGTATTATTAAAAATGTTTAGGGCAAGAAAAATAGATGTGTGTTTGTGTTCTCACAGCAAAACAAGATTAAGGACCATTATTGGTCTCAAACAGGTTCCTTCCTGATCAAACCAGGCTGGCATAACCAGTTACTATGTGAAGCCTGATCCATGAAAGAATGGTTTATTATGAGAAACCTAACTAACAGTAATAATGAATGGTTTAGGGGGGGCATGGTGGTGCAGTTTGACCAGGGTTCAAGTCTCCCCCATGGCTCCATGTGTGTAGAATTTGCATGTTCTCCCCGTGTCACAGTCCAAAAACATGCTGAGCTGGAGTCAAAGTGCCCATAGGTTTGTATGTGTGACTGAATGGTGTGTGAGTGTGTGTGTGTCCTGTCATGGGTTGGCACTCCATCCTGGGTTGTTCTCTGCCTTGCGCCTGTAGCCTCCAGGATAGCCTCTGGACCCCCTGTGACCCTTCATAGAACAAGCAGTTTCAGAAGATGGATGGATGGATGGATGCTTTCCCAGTGCAGGGTACCTTTATGCTTTAGTGCTAATAGTGTGAAACCTTTCAGATAGTTTGGACAGACAGTTTTCAGCTGGAAATTTCTACACAATTTCTGTGCATCTTCTAAATACCATCCATCCATTTTCCATGGTCATGTCCTATGCAGGGTGACTGAGATTCAGAGTCTACAGGTGGAATGACCCAGGTTGGGACACCAACCCATCACAGGGTGGGCACACAGACACACACACACACAGAGACACACAGACACAGACACACACACACACAGTGACATACACACAGACAATCAGACTCCAGTTCATGTCTTTGAGTTGTGGGGGGAAACCAGAGAAAACCACACAACAACTTGAGGACAACATGCAAACTCCACACATGAACAGCTAAAGCAGAGAGTCAAAGCCTGGTCTCAAAGGGGTGAGGTGGCAGCGCTGGGCACTGCGCCACCATGCTGCCAACGTAAAGCCACGCATTTGGCGGATTCCTCCAGTAACTCCTCTCCAGCCAGACCTTCTTTTTGAAATAAAGACAGGAAAGTATCGAATAACCACAGCCCTAAAGCATTGTTTTACCCAGAACCTGGAGGAAACTCCCCACACACACACAGAGCCGTGCAGAGATTAAAGTCTTGGTCCCCCTGCACTATCATGCCACCCCCTCCTTAAGCACCAGAGTGCCGGTAACATAGTGGATGCTTTTGGACGTGAGAAAATGCCCCTATGCAAAAATAGAATATTTATGTCCCCTCGCCTTTATTGAATCCCAGGCACTCAGTGAATATGTCCATGAATTCTGAAATGCTTCTGTTCTGGCCTGGTGTTATAGGTGTGGTGATGCTGCAGGAAGCGTTTATGAGCTTAATTCCTGATGCCTCCTCGTCCCCCAGGAGATCCCCTTCTACCACATCTGGAGTGGCTGCCAGCGCAGCCTCCACTGCACCTTCACCCTGGAGCGCCTCAGCCTGAACACGTGTGAGCTCACCTGCCAACTCTGCGTGTGGCAGGTCGAGGGGGAGGGCCAGAGCTTCAGCATCGACTTGAACATCGCCAAGGTAACAAGAACCCCCCAAAGCATTGGGCTCATTCTATTCTCTCAGCTGCAGATTATCCATTGTTCATTTTGTCTTCAAATCCCCATTCGAATGCGCTGAGGATGCAGTTGTCTCTTCTTTTTCTGGAGGAAAAGCAAAATTCTGAAAGGCACTGAATTTTATTTGTTAGAAAATACTTATTATCAAATATATTTGAGAAAGGCCAGGCAGAGACAGCTTGTTCGGTCATGACAGCATAGAGCAGTAGTAAGGATCATTTGCTTGCGTTGTTCAAAAACGAAGAAGTATATATATGACCTGATGATAATCTGTCATTTAAAGATCTTTGCCAAATAGAAGGGAGCAATGCTAATTTTCACAGATGCTATAGTGCTGTTTCTATTAAAGCAGAGACAAGTTTGCCTTACAGGAAGGCCGCAAAGTACCAGCATTTCATTAAATCACCAGTTCTGGGAATATAAAGCATGGCATAGTTCTTAATTTTTTTTAATTCAATGACAAAACGTCTTGCCAGTAAAATCAAACCATTGCAGAGTCAAGGAGCCTTATCAGAGGTGTGGAGTGAGAAAAATAAAACTCATTAATTCTGTTGGCATGGTTACAAGACTGACGTTTGCTTTTTGGAGGCCCTAAGCGAGATGTTGTTTTGGAGGCCTCTGTCCCGGTGGAATTATCTTCTTATTATTTTTGGTTTTCCAACTCTCAGACCACTTTAATCTGCAGGTTTTATATACCTAAGCTTGGCTGAGGGTTTCATACCTTTCGTTGCTTGTTATTACTGTCATACTGGAGCTTCCTTGGAGTGATGAGGGCTGATGGAAAATGGGCCCCAGCTGATGAGCATCTACTTGAAGATTTTATGATCTGACTATATTATAAGATCCCTTACATAGACCACTGGCTTGAAGCTGGGGAGATGATATATGACTAGTTGATACTTTAGTATTCTATGTGGCATGATGTGTGCAATACTGACATAGTGTATAACTGAGTTTTGGCAGTGGTTCAGACATATTGAGTCCATGGTCCTGATTCAATGGTTAGCGTTAGTGTTATATAGCATTAGCGATTTCTGTAATAGTGTAGTTAGCACCAGTACTAAAGCAATGTATTACCGAACAGCTTTCAAAAGTGCAGTACCACAGTACCTTTTCAGTACCAGTATTCATTGCAACGGTGATCTGCATAAACTCTGAGATATTTGGTAAAATGTTGGACTGTCTTCTTATACCTGCAGCATGAATAAATAAAAACTGCTGTGTTGCACACCTGATAAACCTATGTGTGTCATCATGCCGAGAATGACTCCAAATAAGCCACAAAATAAGGACATTTGTCATGAATTCCATTCTGCTGTGTGATAGCACTTTGCGTCCTAAGTCACACGGTGACGATGAAAGCGTGCTCAGGCCAGGATCGTTAGGTGCAATGTGAGCGCAGACCAGCGTGGGAGTGGGGAGGGGGGGCAATTGTGCCAGGGCACGGTGCAATGTGACTGCGTGAGTGTGAGTACAGCCTTAAGCCCGACCTGGCTAAACATTAGCATTAGCATTTCTCTATTCTGTTTGCATGCCAGCACCACAGTTTTAAGGCAGAGATATGGGTAAAACTTTACTTGACGTGGCACAAGTAATATAGTAACTAAGTCTTAGTTACATACTAATGTCTTGTTAATTCATCATTAATGAATCGTGACACATTTTATATCTTAATTTTGTTAACCTTTGAACTACTGAAGGAACAAGTCATGAATAACAAGTTAAATACTGATCTTATGTTTGTTCATTGTTAATGAATCATGATGCATCCTTGATCCCAAGCAGTTACAATGTGTGTTACTATATCTGTTAATTCTGTAAGTCTTTGTAAACAACTGCAGGAACAAGTCATGAATAACGCAGGTGAAATACTGATCTCACGTTTGTTCACGATTGACACATCTTTTCCCATGATTTGTTCATGATTTTTACTTCAGTAGTAACTGAGTCATTACTTAGCATTTGTGCCCCATCCAGCAAAGTGTTACCAAGATATGTCATGTCTCGTGTGAGTACAGATGTCTATTGAAAGGAAATCGCTCCTGATAAGTGATTGGAGATTTTTAGTCCATTAATTTTAGTGAATTTCCCGCCCTGCCCTACAGGATAGCCGGTCCCTGGACAGTGATTTCTTGGTTTTGGACAACAGCGCCCCAGCTCTAGCAGGCCCAAGTGCATTTCAGATTCCATACCTGATCCGGCAGAAGATCTGCAGCAGTCTGGATGCCCCCTGCCCCCACGGAGCTGACTGGAGGCTGTTAGCGCAGAGACTAAAGCTGGAGAGGTTGGTCTCAGCTCTGTGTCACTGCCAGATAGGCACTGCTTACAGCCCGCTGCAGTAATCGAACTGTCACTCAAGAAGTCAATGAAAACTGATATGTTCCATTTGCCAAAAAGCACAGGAGTAAGCTTCACTTACATAGCATTGTATAGTTTGGCAGTTTTATCCCTTGACTGTTGCTTTGCATGTTAAAATTGTAGATATTTTAACAGGCAGCTGAAAATGGAAAAAGAGTCAAAAATTATTATGAAGTTGAACCAGCAATAGCCAATTGTGATGCACATACACCCAATAACATACAACAATAACACATACAGGCAGTATAGCCGTGTACAGTAAGGCTCAAAGAAATTATGCATTGATTTATTCCCATGTAATTATATGGTGAGTGTTGATAGCAGATTCAGATACCATGTACTGGGGATTCAAACTATTGAAAATGCATACTTTCCTGTGAATGAAAAGGTAAGTGATTAAATACAGGCTACAAATAAGTAATACAAATGAACTCTTATGTTAAGTAAAATGGCAATATACCAACAGGGAGGAAATATTAATGTTAAGCTTTATTTAAAATCATATTCAGATACAATTCAAAGCCTGCAGACAAGGATATATCTGCTTAAGCACAGAGGCTGAGAAATTAAGCCTGTTGTGGAACAGGATGCGGTTTGAGAATTAGCCGCAGACCCGTGATGCCCTAAACAGAGGAGAAAATGTATGAGACAATTTTAGTGTCATAGCTGTCAGTGGGATTTAACACATTCAATTTTCAAGTTGAATATTAAAGTAAATTGTTACCCCCGAATTTTTCATTATCCATTTTCTGAGAGCTGATAGTGCAAGGCTGTATAGCCGCACTTCTGAGGGAGCAAATCATACAGTGATTATGGTAATAGACTTAAAGGCCTGTTGACTAAAAGATTTCAAGTTGAAATTTCATATTAGAAAACTACTGGTAACACTTTTCTTACGGCCATGTTTTTAGTTATTTATAAACACATTAACGATGCATTATAATGCATCCATAAGACATTATAAACATGCTATTAATATTTATAAAAAGGCATAACACATTATAGCCATTATGAATGCATTATTATTTGTTATGAGTTTATAAAGTACTAAAAACACAGCCTTAAGTAAAGTTTTACTGAACTGCTTTTGCAGCAGTGAGAAAACAGGAACAGCTGCTATGAATCCACAGATGACATACAAGCAGAGGATGTACATTGTCTTTGCATGATGTCAACATTCCTCTGCATGAACGCATCCTTAGTAAGTCAGTCATCTGATATATTTTCAATTTTAGGCATATTTAAGTCATGTAAACAGAATCACTACTTGTAACACTAATTACATGTGATACCTTGTTTTGTACTTTACTGAGGCCTGAAAATAACCTAACACTGACTGGCCTGTTGGCAGTCTGTCATCCAGTTTACATTCTATTAATCTACCAGCTAAGCAAGTTGCTTAGAAAACTGTGACTAAGATGAAAGAATATGATTCTTTTCATTTTCCCAGCATCAGTCACCCTGCTAAACAGCTATAAGATACAATGTAGCCCCTTTTTCTTCCGCGCCGAGGACAAAGTGAAATGGCTTTCCAGCCTGTCTATGTAATATTAAATCCTCAGACACAACCTCAGACTCCAGCACTTAGCAATGCCACAATGGTGCCCCCCTCCCACAATGGTGCCCCCTCCCTATGGGTGCTTCTTTTTAGGTCTGTTTGTCAGGACTCTGGCAGTAATGTATCGACCCAGCTGTGTACCCATTTTGCCAATGCGTTTCATGTATTATTAGACCTAAAGAAATCCAAACCTAGTTTTGACGCCGACTCCCCATCGTCCCGCTTGTCAAGTGCTATTTCCCCTGCAGGTAATAAGGTAATCTTTACATGCAGGAACAGTAAAAGCTTCAGACTTTTGGAGAACAGAGAAAAAAAATACCGTTAGCTTGACTGAGGCTTTGCTGAACTAAGTAAGGTGGCCGCTTCGGATACCTCAGAGAAGAGAACATCAAATGCGCTGCCAGAAGGCGGTTACCGCCGTATTGCTATTGATCAGCTTTGATCCGCAAGGTTCTGGTCCACAGAAAAGGTCACATCCTGTCTGATCATGTAGAGAGAGATAAAGGTTTTAAGCCAGTTGGTATGCTGGGCAAGGCTTCCTGACTGACTTTCGTCTTGTGTGTCCTTATAAACAATGAATATCCAAATAATACTCGTAAAGGCTGGAAACTGACACCAATACATATATAACACAAGTATTAAGATATATGATAACAAGTGAAGTATATATGCTAATACTGACTGCAGTGCCTTCATGTAAACGTGGCTGGTTTCCGATACTTCAGTTGACAAGTATCTGGATATTTAGAGAAAAGTAACAGAATCGGTTGTTACGTTTCTATGTACATTAGCTTAGTTAAGCATTAGCAAGAACTACATTATTACATTTAAAATTGAATACAGGGCTTTGTATTCCTGGGACCTACAGCAACCTAGAATCTACTACGAAACTGACAGGGTTAGCAGAGTTGCCTGCACGGCGTTACATTCACGATTTCACACTTTCACACATGCAAGAAATCTTACAGCAAATCTAAATTATATCATTAAAAACCTAAAATTAGTTACATCAAAAGAATTCGGGTATTTTGTTAACCATACAGCCTATTTATAAGGTAATAAAACAGTTACATGTAAATATGTGCGCATGCGTGTTTCTCAAATTGAAAATCTCACTCCAGCCCAGCTGACCAAAGTTTGCAGCCCTACGTTACGTTACATTGAAACCCTTCTGTGTCTTCCAGGCACCTCAGTTTCTTTGCATCTAAAGCCAGCCCCACCTCAGTGATCCTGGACTTGTGGGAGGCCCAGCACTTCCACAGCGGCACCCTCAACCAGTTGGCTGCTGTCATGGCTGAGATTGGGAAACAGGAAGCCATGATCTTTCTGGTGACAGACGGCGAGTGCTAGTACAGGAAGTACAACCCAGTCTGGACAACGAGAGGGTGGAGGATGAGAGAGTGAGTTAAAAGAAAGCACCTGTGTAAATGAAGGATATATATACACAAAGGGATCATCAGTCCAGTGTGTCCCAGTGTCCTGTTCACAAATGAACTAAAACCCAAGTTCCATGCAGTGCCATCTGGGGTAATTATTTTAATAAGGTGTTGTTTTCAAAGCAAACCATTTTTTCCATGACTCACATTTGAAAGGGATTTAAAAAAATCCAGCAGTCCTTTTTTAAGACAGTTTTTAAAGGAGGTTAATAAGTTTGTTGCATATCCGTTCTGCTTTTGACACAAGACTTAGTTAATGACACATTGGGGATGTTTCACAGATTATGCATGTAAAACATGACTCAGAGAAGCCTTAAAAGATTAGACTAGTAAGATGTCCCCTAGTTAACTGAAAATCTTGAAGAAAATATTATGGGAAACACGTAAGCTTTATATCATTTATTTTAATTTAATGACAAGTCTTCACAGGTATTCCAAGGCATAGTTAAATTCAGAAGGTTCCGTTTTTGTCAGATTATACTACTAATATTTTAAATTATCTATATATTTAAAGGTGACTTTACCATAATGTCAATTACATAATTACATTTATACTGACCAATTACAAATACATTTTAAATTACAAAATATCTGTGTACAGAACGGAAATACCTAATGTTCGTATTTATAAATATTCCCATGACATTTACATTATAGCGTATATTAAAATGATCAGTGAAGCAAATAAGCAAATATGAAGATATGAAGCATCTGTCAATTATAATGAATCGGTTTATTATCAGTAGTAGCAAAAATAAAGTTAAACTGTCTGTTTTGCAAAAGGATTTTTTAATATATATTTTTTTAGTTTTTTGGTATATATAGTGAACAAATTATGTGCAGTGATAAAAGAAAATAATGTACAATATATACAATATGACAGTAAACGGTGGTTTGATGCTGTGTTTGATGTTTTTCCGTCATCCATCAAAAGGTACGTGCATTGATCCTTAGACAGAAAATAAATTGCACCTTTGGGCTTCAAAAAGGTCTGTGAAACACCCCCACTCTGAATAGAAAAGCTTTACCCAGTGGCATTTCACACGTCAGCAATGTTTTTTTGTTTTTTTTTTAAGAATGACATCATATGAAGGTTTCCTTATGTTAGAAATGGTTAAACGTGCACTTCAGACAATGATTGGAATTTTGTATTATTTCAAAAACATTTCTTTTTTTATTACTTCTTGGGCACATCAGTTGTAAAACTCATTAAGGCCTATTATACTTTTAGGTCCACTCTTTTTATGAGGACATTTGTACCAAAATGAATTTATACAATTTTAATTATTTATTGAGTGTGGTTGCTTTCAGAATTCAAATACTAGCCCTTTTGTTTTCTTGCAGTATATTATAAAAGATTCTGAAACAAAAATATTCTGCGCCTTTCAACCTGCTGTAGCAACCCATTTTAACATCGAAACGCTGTTATCAAATGCATTGTTTGCTTTTCTATATATTTTATTTGTTTTCTAAATGTAGCTTTTGGACTTTAAGGTATCTAGTACACTTTTTCAAGTGCAAATATCAATTTATGAATATAAAATTCTTTTTGATTGCATAATTTCTGCAGGGACAAGATGTATTACCCAAGAACACGGCCAAAAGGAAGGGGGGGGGGGGGGGGGTTCAGATTCTTGCTCTATCCTTTCTTATCAATAATTCATAGTGAGACCCAGCCTGAAATAAACAAAAGAAAACAAAGATAATTTCTGTGAAGAATCACTGGTGCATTATATTTCTTTGATTTCATCACCTAATTAAATATATATCTCAAATTAGTAGCAGAATATATTCTGAACACAAGGCCAGACTGTTTTATTTCGGATGTGGAGCCTTTATGAACAGAGCTGCTAACGGGAAATGGAGACAAATAAAGCAGGCAGTCTTTATGACACTGATGACACGTCAGTGGCAGGTAGAATGGCTGATCAATTGCCGTGGGAGGGGCCATTTCATGCTGGGGTGGAGCTTGACATTTACAGCTGCTCGAGAGGCGCTTATTCCGCCACAGGGGGGAATGAAGCGGTTTTCTGCACACGTGTCTTATTTTCTCCTGTATATAAACAGCACTTACATCCACGCCCCTAAGCTTAACCAAGGAGTGTGCAAAGAATGTTCTGTCCGCATAATTTTTACACAACATAGCTTTGGGTATCAAGACCAAATTATGATTCATAGATGAAAACATTATTGATACTGCTTCATGTATCATTGATCACGCCCAACCCACCCGGTCTTTTCAACATCAATTGACAGAAGGATTCTTAAGCATCTTTGTCAGAAGCCATTTCTATGTCTATGTTTGAAAAGCAGTAATATCTTTTGCTTTGAACCCATAGGCTATAGTATGGTTTAACAACGTAAATTGTTTGGTTTAGTGTACAGATTCAGAATATGGGTAAATGTGTCGATATGCACTATATGTACTTTTAAACATTAAAATACATCAGCAGGACATCATAAAATAAAGAGTAAAATATATTTCAACAATCACTATGTTAAACATCTGTTATTAAGTTTTGTGTGTCAGGTCCTTATGTAACTTATATGGTCATGTCAGTGTTTCAGGAGTTTCTGTGTTGTTTCTGTATGTGAACTTGAAGAATTCAGGTGAAAAACTTCATATACATAAGAAACTTTTCTTTGCTACGTTTCTATATCTTTTGTTATTATCATTAACAGAGAAGCTCACTGTATATTGCAACTCTTGGTTTTGTGCTAAGCAAGGGTGTTGATTTGGGTTTGCATGGTAGGGAGTAAGTCCTTCCCACTATTGTGGGAGTACCGTGTGTTTGGGGGAGGGGCTAATTTGGTCCCTACCAATGCTGAAACCAAACCGAGGCCCTCGGAGCTAAACTTCTTTTAAAAAGCCCCAATTGCAGGGGCAGTATGACCTGAAATAATTTTTAAAATGATATAATTTGATAGAAATTATAAACATGTTTAGTGCAAGGCTAAGATGTTGTGCTACAAAAGGGAATATATTGACTGCTATTTGGAAAATGTATAGCAATGGCACATAGAACTGTTGCCTATTGGAAGTCTGCATTTTTTTGCCACTCTGGGATTGAAAGGACTCTTTTTCTGAAGTTCCTATGCTTATCGCACTTTAGGTAAAATTGCATTGGAAAACAGCCAGATGACACAGCAAGCGAAATGTTCCCTTTGTGCAGATTTTATTATCCTTTTGGTTTTTTTCCCATGGACAAATGACACATTTTGTTTCACTGTTCTGTATATATAATTATTTCTATACAAAGTTGGGAACCAAAGTTTTACTAGATGGCATTCATTCAGTGTCAGTGTCAGAGATAATTACCCACGAGCTGGTCAATTAGTATTTTTCATTATTCATTTATAAACAGATCTAAGAAATTGGAAATCTACCTATATAATGCTCTGACCAGATTTTGTTTCCATATCAGTGCATCAGCAGACAGCTCACACACATCAATGGATTTCAGTTTATCCATGGAATTTTAAAGTCAAATGTCATGACAGCACTTTCATATCAGTCTTTATACCAGTAATGTACCGTAATAAAGTTCTTTGTAAAAGACATGTAAATGCTATTTTATTATAGAAAGTTATAACCAAAAGGAAAAAAAGAAACTGGTACAGTGTTTGTCAAAGCATAACCTGTGAAGTATTTGCATACTGTTCATTGGAGATATACTGCTTTATCAATGATTTCTGCCATGTTAAGGGTTTACACTGTCCTGAAAAAATCTTGTGTATGTATTTTTGTTTGGTATTATGTTGAATTGCATATCTGTTAGCGTGACACAGGATTTTGACAATTATACTAACAGAAATAGGACAGTAGACCAGAATACTGCTTCTACCTGGGGAATTGCTTAAGCCATAAAGGGAACATTTTTTTGTATTCTATACATCTAGTAATACATGCATATATACACACAAATACATACTGCACACACAGAGTAATAACAGCCTAAAAAAAAAACCTGCTGTCATACATTTTTTTGGCTTTCCAGTAAAAACACAATAAGTTTTCAGATATGTACACTACCCATACTGTAGAATATCATTAAACACACACAGCAAATCTGGCTAAGCATTAGAACACTTTTAGTACCTGCTGGTAGCATTCTTGACATTCAGTATAGCTAAACACCCTAAATAAAGAGAAACTTTCAAGAAATTAGGAATCATACATTTTAGCCAGTTAAAGTAAAAGCTGACTGACTATACATTTCACAACTGCATTCAAAGTTTTTATGTAAAGAATGTGTATTCCCCCAATCGATTTTTATTTCAAACTGAAAATAACTGTATTAGTGAATGTTTCTTAAATCAAAAAATTTCCTTGCCTTTCTGTAAGTCAAAAATGCTGTACTTAATACATGCCACAGCTTATGCAATTGTACTATTTTTTTCTACGTTTACCTTCCTTCTTCTGACAATGTAAATTACATGTCGTAAAAAAGTTTTGTGGAAGTGGAAAATCTGTCGAAGGAGATTTTCTGTACTTTTCGGACAATATTATGGATTTGTGGGTAGAATTTTGAAAATTCGTTTCTAAGTGCATTCAAGATTTTACTTGGCCTTATGTATATATATATATATATGAAATTTCAGAAAGGTATGTATAGTAATTCAACCTGAAATGGATGTAAATAAATTATATATTGTTAAAAATACGGACTAAATTTTTGGTCTTAAAAGCAGATCTATGACTTTAAAAAGGCCACACAGAAATGCAATTTGTAAGACAAATTCCCAAATGCCAAACACATTCACTGTAGTACAAACCACTTCCTCTTATACCTTGATACATACCAACCAACAATTAAGCTAAACTATGCTAAATGTAGCCATATTTCTGTTACAATCAGGAAGTCAGATGATTTAAATAAAATCATTTGAAAATGACATAACACCATCTTACAGTACAGCAAAATATTATTGGGTTGCAGAGGATGGTGACAATCATTAATTAAAAAATGCTGCATAGTAAATTAGTCTCAGTAACCAATTTAATCCGTCATTATTAAGCAGCTTCTAGCAATAATACTGGACAATCTACCATAGAAAGTTAAGTGAGACGCTATCTTAGTGTTTGTATGTAAGATCTTCTTTATGTTGATATAATCTACATTATATAGCTATAAATATGGGGGGGGGGGAGCTTGTACAAAATCTCATTTTGAAACCAAGGATGTTAATATGAAGTTCACCCTTTGCTGATGTAATTGGCTCGACTCTTTTGGGACAGCTTGCCATTAACTTTGGAACATTACTGGTGGGAACACAGCTGCCGTGCTGGTTTGGTATTAACGTTACAGGGATCAGATGCCTTTCTGTGAGTTTGTCTGATCTACCGCTTGGCTAATGAACTGGTTTCCACCACACAATCCCTTGTCGGAACAAACATACTGGAAAGATGAAATCCGACGATGGTGCAAAGTTGGAAAATTCTTTTTTCTTAACATATCAATCTTGTTTAACGCAGACACACCACTATTTACAAGTAGTAACATTAAACAGTATAATGCACACAGTAACAGCACAACAGACGCTAACTACACAAGACGACGTTACGGTCCAACACACCATGCTGCCTGATGGATCCCACCAGCGCTACAATATGAAATGAATGTACAATCCATATTAAATGAATGTGTCATTAGTCACATTCCTTTGTTCATGTACAAAGCATATTAAATGAATGTTTTGTCAGCATTGGCTTACAGGAATTTTTTGAATGAACTCAAATGAATCATGAAGGGTGCAGAAACTCTTGGGCATGACTCTGTGGTTCTTCTCTGAGCATATTTCTCATTGTAACTAAGATCACAGCGGCCGGCAGTTCCCACCTCGGTACTGTGGTCCCTTTAGCTTCAGGAAAAGGCCACCAACTATGCCTGCTAAAGGTGCCATCCGTGGTAGTAATATAATTCTGCTCTGATAACATCACAGTTACTGATTAAGGGATTTCCACTAACCCCCTCACTGCGGCTTCAGTTTCTCGGGCAGCGGATTTACCTCCTGCAGCAATACTTTGGAAACAAATCATCCGTATTCTTTTTCCACTGAGGGCAACAAAACCAAAAGGATCATAAACCGAGTTGACTATTGACAGTATGTCATGGCAGGGTGCTACATGATCCTTCAGTGAGGACCTGAAACTATTCCTTTCTGTGTTCCAATGGATTTTCCGGTTCCTTTTTAGCGGTACATCATTAAAGGTAAGGTTCTCGCCTTGCCGTCTGTTGCATGCTCTGAGGGTATACCCTGTAGAACAGCACTCTTGTTTGATAGAAACTTGTGAATATGGTGACCACCTTCCATACTTAGTTTACGTTTCTCTTGTTCCAGATGAATAACCCTTTCTGCTATCTTTATGCAAAGTACTGGAATTGTAATAGACATGTGAGACTATTCCTCTTTGACTAGATATTTTGGTTCATCATTTGTACACTGGGGAAGAAACTGCACTTTCTTCTAGAATTCTTGGGGTTATGCTATTCCATGACAAGTAATGTACCACTGGATGCTCTTCAGCCAAATGGCTACTTCAATATTTGTTTAAATACTAGAACTCGTGGCCGTAAGTGGAAATTAGCGGGAGAACATTTTAAAATGAATTTGAGAAAGCACTTCTTTACACAGCATGTAGTTAGAGTATGGAATAGTCTTCCTGTTAGTGTAGCACAAGCTAAAAACCTGGGTAACTTTAAGACAGAGCTAGATACGATTTTAACAATTCTGAGCGATTAAGCTTGATGGGCAGAATGGCCTCCTCTCCTTTGTAAATTTCTTATGTTCATTTTCACTGTGAACTCCATCATTGTGTAATTCATCTACATCACGTCTTTCAATAATGTTGTTCCTTGTACTTCAAATGACTAAAGAAATTTCATTTTAAGTAACTGAGCTTAACTGTACAAGCCGGCTGATAGTAGGTAAGTATGGTTGTTACTTGGAAAAACTCATTTCATAATGTCTTCTGCCATATTTTCCTTGGCTTATCTATGAAAATGAGATCCTCCCCAGAAATGATCTTGTCACCTCTCCTCATGCTTTTCACATTCACAAATCCAGAAAAGGGATCGGTTTGTAAAAACACATGACACAAAGGAAGCTACACTACTCCTAGCTCTATAATCTGCAGTAGTACGTCACTCCCATAGTGTGTCATAGACGAATGGAACACCTACAGGAGCCGTGTTCTCCCCAGTCAATACTCTGTCCACAATAAGTTTAGCATGCAGCTCAACTATGAGAAACTGAAATGTCAAAAAGGTTAGTAATTTCAAGGTGTTTGTCTCTGAGGCAGCTAGTAAACTGCTGTAGTGAAGGACATAAAGAACCTGAGAGAAGGGAGTAAATCATTCCTTACACTGCAATATAAAGAATTCAAGTGTAAATAAACAACAGTGACCCACATCTCTCAGATTTCCACAGATTGTTTGTCCTCAGAACTACTTTAGAGAGACACGGCCAGAGAGATGATCAGGAAACACAAAAGGAATGGAAGTGGGTGGATTAGCAGGTGCACCAGCAACATTATTTAGTGGAGGGAAAATGATCTGCGCGTCCTTCACCAAAGCTTTGTGGGTGTTACAATGCTGCCCAGGACAAATGGCAAGCAGACGAGTTCGCTCATGACAACAGAAGCACTTTTACTTAAGACTGTCATCCGTTTGGGGACATTTTCAATTTGCCTACGACCACCCATACGACTTCATACACCTCAAGGAGGTGCAGGGGGGGGGAAGGTCTACTTTCTGGGACAAAACAGTGTCTGCACAGGTGGTAGCATCTTAAAAAGTAACTACTTCTACTTAAATACATTAATACACCACAATACAATGCATGCAGCAGTATTTCTATTAACTGTTCAAATTCAGAACCACCCTGACTTCCTAATTTTCTCGCATTTTTTGTTTCCAGTTCATTTAATTTCATTTGCAGTCTAGGATCTGATGGGGGTAGAAAAACACTCCTGGGATCCAGGCCCAACCAGAGCCCTCCCCCGATGCTGGCCTTCGCTACATCAGGACGCCCCAGGCAATATTTTGTCCATAACAAGTTCAACATATAGCTCAACAGCAAGTCACTCACCTGTGGCCTGTACTACGAAGCGGGCTTACTGGCTTGTCGAGGTAACTTGTCAGATTTAAGCTACCACAGTATACAGTAAATGGACTTCATATTCGTTCACTTACATTTTAGCCAGACTACGTTAAATCTGACAAGTTACCATAAGCCAGTAACCCCGCTTCGTAGTACAGGCCCTTGGTTTACCTGCAAAGCGACTTTAAAAGCCCGATCCAGGCATGAAGTGTACAGGGGCGATCCTGCAAGAAGCCGCCAGTTCAGTCACGACTCATTTAGGGCAGAAAGCCATAACAATGATGAAGGTGAACAGTAAGATAAGGGTTAAACAGAAGGGACAGGAAACAGGAAATCGGAATCAAATCAGAAAACTCAAAGAAACTACACATTGATCATTTCAATGGTAAGCTTTAAGTAAACATATGACATAGTGCAAGAAGACACTTTAAAATCTTCAGTTAAGTTTTTGAAAGGCACATATCACACCTGAAATATCTCCCTTGCAATAATGTGAAAGTTATCACTGATAAGAATACATGGAAGGCGTGTGACACCACTAAGATGTTAACACACTAAAATGAGTGAGAGCAGCTGGGGGAGACACTGACCAGGGAATATAATTATGGCAGTAATTAAAGCAAAATGTGTTCCTACCAACTATTAAGTACATGCACTGTATCATTTCTTTATGATGTTTGATAATTATTTGCTCAAATCAGACACTTGACAGAAGAGGTGATGTGGAAAAACAGCTTCAGCTTCTTAACAAATGAAGAAATGTATGAATATCCTATTTAATCAAAATTCTAATCAGAATTAGAATTTAGCCTTGATTCATCCCTTTAAAATATCCATGTAAAAAAAGGCTCATTGGTTACTTTTCAATCTCTGCTACAATGGCAATTCTTGTATCAAAACACAAAGGGTACAATTTCTCACAGTAGACAATATCAAAGGGAACATCCTATTAACATATTTGTCAGGATAGAAGCACTTTTTTAAAGGTTGCAGTCACTAGCAAATATCTTGCAGTGTGGTTTTAACCCAGCTACAGTCAAAATACTAGGGCTGTCAATGTCAACTATATATACCGATTAATTTTACGATTCATCATGTAATCATTTAATATAAAATATAATACAATATAATAATATAATATGTTTGCGAGGTAGGAACCCATCAGCCACTGCAGGGTGCACACTTAGTCACACCTACTGCTAGTTTAGTTTACCACTACAGTTCACTTAAGTTGCATGTTATTGGACAGTGGAAGGAAACTTGAGGATCCGGGGAAATGCCACACACACACAGGGTGTACCTGCGAACGGCAACAGTGACACCCACCACGTCAGATTTGCGCGATGTATGACGTTAATACTGACATGGCATTTCATGCCCATGCAACGATCCGATCACAAGGACCGCGATAAGTTCAAACCATCAATAATTTGCGCTAAAACATTTTTTTGTAAATGCCTCGCATCTGAATTATGCCAAATAAACATACTCGCTTTGCTTTGCCTAAATGTGACAGCTCTAGAAAATACAAAACCATTGTTCAGAACTGCAAATTAGTTTATTTCCCAAATTATATGACAAATGATCTCCTCTATAACAGATGATTCCAATATTCCTTTGCTAAAACATTTTAAACCACTAACACATGAATACAGTAGTTCAGTATCTAGCTATATAATAGTAAAGCATACAAAAGGCACTTATTACTGGACAGATACATACATAAAGTAAACAAGACAAAGAATTTATAACATTATACGAGACGAGTCTGTGGTGGAAAAAAGGGACAAGAAGGAGCTTGAAGGCTATGAGAGACAATGGATGTGCATTTCAGGTAAAAACAAACAAAACATTTGGAGTGACATGAAACAAAGCATACAGCTACATGAATTACATCTCAGCAAATTCGTAGTGTCTGTAGATCCTGATTCTTATTTACTTGTTTTTAAATATTCTGGCTTTATGACACCAAAACAAAATCGTCCATCAAACTCTCTGAGCAAGACAATTGCCATTATTTCTTGGAAAAAGACACGGGAATTTGTCATTACATTTCAAAAAGCATGTATGGGGGGAAAAAAAATCCATCAGCAAAATGACTGTTAGATTTCTGCTCATTTGCATTTTTAGTCACTTAAAAGTACATTTAAAAATAATCCCAGATTAATTTGGCCACAGCAGACCTTTGCTCGAAACATTTTACTGCATTTGTACATCAGTTTCTCAAGACCGTCAGTAGAACATCAGCGGTGTGACGCTTATATAACTGAGGAGACATGCTGAACATTCAGAGTTATCTCCCCATTTTATGGCTCAATATGAAATCGCTCCCCTGCGTATGATGGTAGACCAGCACCCCGGGAAAGATGGAAGACGGCCGGGACAGATAGAGGCACGGCAGGTTCATAAGCAGAGCTGCATTTTTGCATCATGGGTGAGGAGCAACCACTGTACAGCAGCTACACCAAATTCAAGCCAAAATGTTTAATTTGTTACGCAAAAACAAATGTATTTAGCAGTGGCTATTACAAAATACATCTAAACGTTAAAACACAGAATCTGGGTGAGCTACAGATAACCGATCATGAACATTACAAATATGGTAGTGCTTTCTAGCAAATCTAATATGGAACAAACACAGCCATCATCTCAAGATATCAAGCTCTTCATTAACTTAAGGAATTAAGGAACCCTTGAAATCCATTTCACATACGCCAGTGCTACCTTACCCAATTTTCACTTGTCCCCCTGGTTAGCATGATACTTGTTAAATATTCTGCATCTAGGATGAGTTCACATCTGTGCATTGGTTCAATGTAAAATACAATGCTGATGCACTTGGTTTCCTAGTATCTTTGGATGATCTTTGGAATTACCAAAAGTACATTGGTAAAGGTGTTTGGCACACAAAAATAGTGTTAGGAATGCATAAAAACATGTGATAATGATATTAAAATACTTTCAGCGTCCAAAATGAGATTATATATACAGTGCAATGGTATTTCTGGAAAAGTGAAGAAAGTCTATTTTAGCTACACTAGAAAGCTCTAGAGAGAAAGGGTGACAGCTGTCATGCAAACATCCCTAAATGAAAACTCCACAACAAACTACTTTTGAAAACACACTTTGCAGGCACAGATGTCACACAGTAAAATAAAAAAAAACAGTAAGTATCAGTGTGAATTAGAATGAATGCTTTGCTCATTGCAGGAAATCATAGTGAGAATTTGACTAAATGCCTAACAAGTAATGGCAAGCACTGTGAATGCTTGTGAAGACTTCTCATACATTCCACATTGGGCATGTTGCCAAGTGGATGGAGTATCCATGCCAACAATTACTGCTGCACTCCTGATTGTCAAAGACTTAAGTTAGAAAGTGTAAGTGATTGCAACAATAACATTGGTCAGTAAAGGAAAACTGGCAGAAAGTGGTATATTTCCTGTCTTTGCTCCACAAATACTGGTGGCATGTGTCAAAAAACGGTGGGGATGAGGTGCTTAGAAGCAAGGAGATACTGGGTGGGTGAACAGGACGGCAAAAGATTCTGGCCAACCTGTTAATTCCTATTGTTCCCTATGACTACTAAGGATGCACAGTCTCACACGGGAGAGAATGCATGACCTTTACATAGGGGCTTGTCTTTCTTGGAATAAAACGTCTTTCCTTCCAAGTTCATCTGGCAAATCTGCAAAAAAAAAAATAAAAAAAAATAGATGGAAGGATGAGTTAGAAAAGTGAACAACTACACAATAAACGACAAAAGGCAAGCTGCAGAAAATGTTACTATTGCGGTCAGCTTGGGTCATTCAATTTCATTTCGTTTTCAGACATGCTTCTCAGAGCAGAGTATGTCCAAGGGCAAAAGTCAGTGGTGATATTTTTGACCGTTTGTATTGGCCAGGCAGCTCCAGACAGGGGTGACAGAGCTTCTATGAATCAAAATGACTTACAGCGCAGACAAAGCAAGTGTCATGCCAGCTGTAGCCAAGCGCTTCTAGGAACCGGTCACCAGTATCAATCTTGAAGTCACAGCCGTGGCACTTAGTACCAAACATCTTCTCGTAGTCTGCAGAGAGAAGAGCACACCCTCATTAAAATGGAAAGGAACGTCGAATGCGGGATCGGTTCTGAAAAGGACATAATGATTAATAGTGAAAAAACAAAAATAAAAAATGGAGGAACAACGTGGGCCAGACGGATGAGGTATGGGCCGCGGTAACAGAAATCACGCCTAATACAAACAGCAAAGATTAAATGGGTTGCACGGGCTTTCAGTATTGGAGCTTAGAAGTGACAGGTCTTCGCTGGTGCACTTAAGGCAAGTGATTTAGGGCGCAATCCTGAATAAAATGCCTTTTAAAGGTGCTGACGCTGCAGCATTTTCATCAAAATGGAATCATTACTTATAATAAAAATCAGTCAGACTCTGTGTGCTCTTGCTAAAAGGGCAACACATCCTGGGGAGAAGAAAAAAAATGTAAAACCCACTGACACAAAAATGTGGCATTCTGTTTATCTGGAGCAATTGAAAAAACATAAGTCAAAGTAAAACCTACAATGACATTATGAATTTTTTGGGGAGAAAAATTTGGAAGTGCATGATTTTTCGCGGATCTTTCACCTCTTTCACAGTAAGGCTCTCCCTCCTCCATGTAAAAGGCCTGGTTCCTAATGGGAGTTTTGCAGGCTGCACACATAAAACACTGAACATGGTAGGTCATCTTCAGGGCGTGCATGATCTCCTGCAGAGAACAGGAAACAATCTCAACTCAGCCGATTTTCAGGATATCAAATTGTTAGGTAAAATGGACGTATGAAAAGCCCGTGCAGTAACACTGAGCAGTAACACTGAGCAGTAACACTGAGGAGTAACACTGCCCTGTGTATCATCACCCTACTAGTAGGTCATACATGACAAGTTTGGGTTACAAAACTGAGCCTTTATTTGGCCAATGTATCATTCCCCATTTGTTTAGTAGAGTTCCTTGCCAAAACACTCAAAATGGCAGGTAGGCATTTCTGTTCTAACTATTTTCCAAGATTTCAAAGAGTTACCATCTTGGAGTACGTTTCAGAAAAGCATAGGTGCCAACTGAAGGGTTCCAACTATATAAGCTGCCAATCGAAACCTTGGAGAAACATACCCCTGCATGTGATTTTGAAACCCAGAGCAATGGAAATGAGTGGTTATAAAGCTTCTCACCCCAGTGATGATCTTCTTGCACTTGGCACAGTTAGGTGCATAGCGGTTGTCATAGCACTTGGTACAGAAGATGGAGCCCCTCTCCTCAAAGAAGCCTCCCTCCTCCAGAATCACCTTACACTGGGAGCAGGTGAACTCCTCCGGGTGCCAGGAGCGGCCCAGAGCGACGAGATAGCGCCCCCTGAGACCCCCCACACACACACACACACACACACACACACACACACAATAAACAAAGATTAACACCAAGGTCAGTTGTTACCGAAGGATTAGCAAAGATGCGGAGAAGAAAAGGCTACATCAAACCAGCTAATCCATCACTAAAGCGTATTGGCAGGACTTCATGTTACAGCATCCGCCCAGCATACTGAAAGGCTGCCACGTCCTGCCAGGTGTTTTTCCCCTCGACAGAATGCCATACACGTCCCAGGGTGCCGGTAAACCCAATCACTCCCCTTTACTCATTTCCTATATATCAAGCAGATTCCCAAATGGAAATTACCTGAGGTTTTATTTGCCTTAGTCACCAAGGCCAAACCTTACATTACAGGATCTACTAATACCACCTAAATATCACTAGATAAATCATCTCAGGAGATTTGAAACCAGACTCTTGGTCTGCAGTACTCTGTGCAATAAGCTATAGTCACGTGTTGATTGTTGAAGGAAACACAGAGGTGAAGCCCCATAGCCCTTTGCTGGCTGGAGAAGACTCACCTGATGATCTTGTTGCAGGCGCCACACAGTGGGGTCTTGCCACTGTCAGACGGGGCCTGCTGGGCGGCCTGTAGGATGGAGCTGCGGTTCTGCATGGGCGTAGGCTGGGCCGGCTTGCTATGCTGGGTCAGCACCGTACTGGTCTTATCTGGGTGGTAACGGCTGGCGAAGCTGGGGTCTGTGACCCAGGGTGGACGGCAGGACGGGCCCGTAGAAGGGGCCGGTGCCTTAGGAGCTGATTTAGCTGAGGAAAGAGTTTACAGAGGCACCTGAGCATTCTGACCACTGATACATGCTAAGAAAATTTGTTTATGCTCGGTTTGAGTTTTCACTAAAAGCCACACTGGACACAATTTAAATTTTTTCAAGTGTGGGATTCAGATGAACAAGGTTTAGTATTACAAGGCCATGCCCAACCACTATGCCACCTGTGGCACCAGAGGTGGAAATTTTCAGGGCCCAGAAGTACAAATCCAGTTTAAGATTCTGTTTCAACCCACCAGTAGAGTACTCTGTGAATAGCACTACACTTGCCTCTCACAGAAGTACAGCGAGCACACTCATGAGTGTTAATGATTGGTTCAGAGAGATAACCAATCAGATTGCAGAGGTGGTGGGTCCAAGCAACTAACCAATCATTTTTCATTCTGCCCTCAGAACATTTTGTGTAAGTTAAACTCCCACAAGCCACCACAGTGCTACAGAGCAGCTTCTTACCCAGACTTTCATTTGGTTTGTCTGCTGAGGGTGCCACAGGTTTAGACTCTGGGGTTTCTGCTTCATGACTGTAGAAATAAAAATAATAATAAAAAACAGCTCCCATGAGGCCAAAAGACCCCATTAAAAGGAAATGAAATGGAATAGATATTTGAGCAAGACATCTACTTACAATATAATGTAGGTTTAATATCAGAATGACAGGATTGTGTGCAACTGAATTAGAAATATTACAGCAGAATATATAAATCAGACATACTGAATTCCCCAGAGATGTCTTCCAAGTGTGAAATCTTAATGTAGTTTTGACAATGCTGACAATCATGTTTCAGTTCATTACTCTTCCTCCAGAAAGCAGTTATAAAAGGACAAAGTGTCAGGCAAAGTACATATATCACTGGCTGTCACCTTGCATGCAACTGCAATGCTATTGAGGACAGAAGATCATCTTATTTTATAATTACCGGAATAAACTGAAACTTTTAAAGGACTTTGTTACTTTTGAATAATCATAGGTTGTGTTTTTCCACTTTAATGAATCATCTTAAAATACAGTATGACTTCTTCGAAACATGCTACAAATTCACTTGTCAACATAAAATCTCATACCATTACAATGCAGCCAACCTACATTTTTCACAGCAATTTCCAGCAGGAGGTGAAATTGTGAATGTTGCAAATGGATAGTAACTACTGGCAGAAATTGAATATACGGTAGTAAGTGATAATATACTTCATTTATGCATGGCTTTCAATCCAAGGAATTTCAACTCATTTCCATTACATTCTGTCATTGCTCTCTACCCCTTCACTACAAGCAGGCAAACAAAAATGGAAATTTTATGCAATCATTTCAGACTTACCTTACCTGCCACACCAAATAAATGACCAGTTTTAAAGTATCAGAACACCATAATATAACATTTAAATAACATCCATCATGGGATTCTCTGTACCTGCTTGTCCTATGCAGGGATATGCGGGTCCAAAGCCTATCCTGAAAGCTATGGGTGCGAATAAGGGAATAATTCAGGACGGGGCGCCAACCCATCGCAGGGCCATTTAAATAACAGTAAGAATAAATCTTGTTTTGGGTTCCCACCATATTACATAACTTGGCTAATCATCAAGTTAGGCGGGGCTTTATTGGCACACCAATCATATTCGGGGCACTTCATACTGAGAGATGATGCTTCACTGACCACAGGGATACATACAGCTCTATATATAAAGTGCAAGGATAGACAAGACAAGTGTGGGGTGGGCGGGACACTGACACACGATGTATAAATAAGCATGATGAGGCACACGGAATGCAATAATGGAGGCAGCAGAGTGGTTTATAGCAGGAATAAATAAATAGATACCAAAGATTAATAACAAGTACTTGTAATAGTGCAGTAACGCTGGTGGACAGGAGAGCTTGTGTAAAGTCCAGATCCGTGGGGGAGGGGGGCAGCAGAGAGGTGAGAGTGCGGGCAGCCGTGGGAAAGAGGGTGAAGGAGATTAAAGCGATGATGATAAAGATAGAGAGTTGTAAGTGGGTGAGACTTTACACCTGATAATAATTTAAACTCCATTATTTAATGTGGTTTTAGGTGGCACTGGCAAATGGAACAAAACTAGCAATAAATACCAGTATCCATCACACAAACTGAACCCAGGACGCTTATACAAAGACGCAATAAACACTAAACTGGAAAAACAGTGAATGCATAAATCCAGATACTTCCACTATCAATACTTACAAACAAAACCTGAAAATGTCACTTCAGAAAGAGTAATTATGTAAGTTATATGCCCCAATACCAAAGAATATTGGCACTAAAATTACAGTTCTCTAGAATACCTCTTACGTCCCTTTATACCTAGTCAGTCTATTGAGAAACATGTGATATTTCCCGTTACCCTTGACAGCATGTCGAACCGCAGTGGAGAAGCCCCTGACCATGGTCTGACGTGACTCAGTGGTGCTGACAGAGGAAAAGCTGAACTGATGAGCTATAGGCTAAAAGCTGTTTAATCCTCAGCAACATCAAGCTCCATCACCAGATAGTCACCATTAATGCCTCGGTGATGTGCATGGAGGCGACACTGAAAGAGCACTTAACATGCGGCATGACAAGGCGACCAGTGTCCACAGGCAGCTCATGTACTGGTAGGGGGATGAAAAGCATTATTTGCCCCCTGTAAGTCACTGCTAACCCATGATTGACATGTAAAGATGGAGCATGTGCTGCAAATAATGAGTAATGGATGAAGGAAGAGTTCTGCCTGTAAGAGGCTGTTCATGTGACCATTAGAAAGCACGCTGTGTATGTATGGCCACCCTCAGGGACGGCAGGTCAGGGATAGAGGTCAGAACTCAGGGCATGCATAAAAAACACTACTGTCTGGGCAGATATATGGTGTAGTGAGGAAACCCCAGGACAATGCTAGTTCATCACCACTTTGATTCCATTGCCAACACAATGTTTAGGAGAGTTTTTCAGTCGGGATTTTTGTTGAGAGTTGAAATCTTAAGCAGACCAAAAGCATCAACTTGCTAGGTATGGAAAGTCCATAAGTTTGCGGGTGGAACGCAGCCAGCACGGGTCAATTAGCAAACGAAAAGCACAACATCTCATTAATGGAAATCACATAGTATTTAAGCCATTCTCTAGACTATTTTTTGTTTTACTTAGGGGTACAATTTTGAGTAGAGTAATACTTTGCTGGCAGATTCCTGGCAAAATACTGATAAAACCAAAAAGCATAGCAAATATTAAAGGATCCACTTTCCCCAGATTAACAGTACAAAATCACTAGAGTTCTAGTTCAAATATTCAGCATCACCAGTTTGTGTAACTCCCTAAATATAATGCTTCAACCATTTATTCAATTAGAATTACTGTGGTATCGAGACTGACTGCATAGCATAAGTTTATTAAGCAGAATCTAAAAATGGAGTGAATTAGAAGAGAAGTGTAACCAAACTTTGAAAGCAGCCTTGAGGCACCATAATGTGTGGTGTAACCTGTCAGGCTGTGTGTGCCGTTGCCGCAGGGATGAACAACAAAATGTCAAATTGCATTAAAACAGAAGGCACTTCCGGGAATTGAACCGCATTAAAGTGACACCCGTTGAGAAACTGGCACAGCAGGATCATTGCACTAACTGCTCATTAATATTGACAATTTGTTACCAGTGTTTGTGATCACAAAGAAAGCATTAGTGGATACTTGTGTTGGTAGATTATGCACGAGCCCTCAAACTACAACAAAACATTTATCCATTTTGTTTTTAGTTAACAACAAATGAGACAGAACACCAAAAAAACAGTTTGTCTTGTTAAAATTTGATGGCCATTTTAGATCCTTTTATGCTTCTATTCATACCAATTCCAAGGGCTTCCAAATTCTATTCTCAGACAATGTTGAAAGAGGAAAAAACAAATCACCAAGAGACCACTTATGACCCATATTTCAGAGGTTAAAAATACTTCAATACCTTTGAGATAAGCCCTTGTCTTGGGTGAAATATGACAGTGTATATACAGAGAGAGGAGGAAACGAAACAGAGGGAGATACACAATCTTTTTCAAATGTTTTATGTATTGATGAAATCAAAAAACACAACCAATTTCTGCCCATTTTAACCCCGGTTTTTTTTCCCCTGAGGGAGAATCCAAAAGAAAATCCAAGGGATTACCAATACGATACATAGTTTCAGAAGACAGAGCAGAAAAGGGGAGTGGACCAATGTGTCGGCACAATAAAATCACAAAACGAAATCAGCAAAGGGGGTGAATTATTCCTATTGCTGAACACAAAGACATTTTGCAATAAGGAAAAGATCTATTACACAAGGTCACCAGCACTTTTAACACTCATGCATTCCTGTGTGGAGGGATATCTGTTGGTAGGCTCAGTATGCAAGTTTTGTGATCTACGCTTCCTGCAATTTTTCTATTTTGACTTATTTTTCTGCTTTCATATTCCTCATACTCCCTCCCGAAGTCACTCAAGTCAGTTGAATTGACGCGTTCAGAGCTTCTCATCGTATGGGTGGACAGACGGGTTCCGTCACGGACCCATCCTGCGGTGCCCCAGAGGGCACTCAGTTCTTGACATTGAGGGAGCGGGCAGACCTGTTGTGGTGCCAGTCCCGAAGCCTAGCGTAGCGGGGACTCTGAATTTCTGTGAGGAACTTTTCCCTAACCAAGGAAAAAAAAAAGAGAGAGAACACAGCAGACAAGAAAAAGGGGGGACAAGAAGAGAGGAGGAGTGTAATGAGAGAAAGAAAAGAGATGCAAAGTGACAGTCCTGCAGTAGGATGACAAAGTATGCATAAGACAAAGAAAGCCTTGGTTTAACATTTTTGGCAAGTCATGTCTGAAGAGCTCACACAATGCTGATCTGTATGAAAACAACAAGATCTGGAGGGGTTTCCCATAGAAGTAACTAAGCTTTTGCCGCCTTCCAGACCCAAGCTCAGCTTATACTCATGGATCACAGCCTACGCCAGAACACAATCATGCTTTACCTGGACTTCTTCAGGTTCTCATCATCTGGGTCCTGCACTGATGAGTCAGAATAAACAAACATCAGATCATTTCATGGGTGTTTGCAACTCTACTAACTAACAAGTACTAAAATACTGAAGTCCACATTTGCATGACAATTGTGGAACACGCGTTATCTTCGCTTATAGGATACAGTAGTGCCTTCAAAGCACTTGGACCTGCCATCCTCTCTTCACAAATCTAGTTAACCCATATAGCAGAACCCCATGCCAATTAACACTTAATCTAACCCTTCGGAGCTATGATTGTGCTATACTGCTTTGCCCTGGCCACCAGACACCCAACAGCAACGTGGGGGGGTCTGTCAGAGGCAGAAGGCCCCATCTCCCTGACTTACTGAAGTCCGTGCCTGTGAGCTGAGCCAGGATGCGGAAGGAGCGCGACTGGGTGGTGCCCGTGCGAGGCTGCCAGTCCTGCGTATCTTCAATCAGACGTTTCTTGCCACGGTCATTGGGGATGAAGCAAGGCGCTCCCTCTGCCCGGAGACCGTGACTGGAACTAGGTGCCAGCGAGGGCACGGCAAGGGGGGGGGGGGGGGGGTTAGGGGGCTAGTGTTTCAGGCCCACAGACATTCCTCACGGAAACTGAAGTCACAGACATGAACGATTTTGGACGTGCCAAAGTAAATCACAGCATTCCATGCATTAATGGATGGCATCGCAACACCTTTATATAGTTATCATGTTAACCAAGTACTGAATGTTCTCCCTTAATTACTCCAAGATGCCCGATTTAAAAAAAAAAAGTACATTTATAGATTTAGTGTGCAGCAGGCAATGGATAATTTCGGGTATCCGTCAACTTCCTATCAAATAACGCCCAACCGCATTTATGTCGGAGGTCCATAATAAACAAACAGTGATGGAGGGAATCCTGAAAGCGGATACAGCAGGACGTTAGCGGGCATGTCGCTCAACGTAAGACGTGCAGGAGATGAGGAGAATGGATAGCTCTGCCACCCCCTGTCCATATCTAACCTGCAGTACAGTAAGCGTACAGCTACAAGCTCTTATTATATAGTGTTGTGTTTATATATTTACATTATTTGCTCTAGAGCACTGTCTGCATATTTCAGCACTGTACTTAATATGTTATTTTAAAGTTAAAGGTGCAATAAATTCTCCCTTATAAATGACAGTTGTTTCTTATACAAGCCCCGTCATAAGGGGTTTAGGCAAAATATTTTGTCATTTATGTATGTGGCTAATGCTCATTCCATTCTGTAGGCAGAATGATGAGGCAACAGTTTATTATACAGGCTGCCAAAAAGCTGAGGTGATAAACAGTAAATATTTTATGAAACTGATTTTCTGTAAAATGTTTTCATGTAAATTACTTCTAAAGAGTGAATACTGGACAGTATCTTATTTAATTTCCTCTCTTGGTGTGCAACAGTGAAACAGAAACCCGCACTTAATCTATACTGTACGAGGGCACTAAATGATAGGCTACACTATGTTTGCCTAAATTTTACACATTTGTTTAGCAGAATGAGTTATCTATGTAACTTTCTGATTCACGGTCAGATCAAGGTCTCATAACCATATAAAAGCAACATTGTGATTTTGTACCAGTCTGGAAACATGGCAGTGAAAGAAAGAAGAGGCTCTTCTGGAGGAATGACATTTTTGTCTTATGATGAAAGTGTGTCGATATATTAAAAAAAAAAAAAAAAAAACGATTATGCAACCATTACTCGCTTTATATGTCATAGTGTCAAGCCTGATACCTGATCATCACCAACAAACAGCAACATTACTTTCTATTAACACTGCGTGTGTACACATATCATATATATATATATATATACACATATATACACACACACACACACACACACACACACACACACACACACACAGAAGTAATTGAGGGAGACAATGTGAAACACAACAATGACCAATATTATGCTACATGCAGGGATCAAAGTCACATACTGTGAGGCAACCCAATCCCTGACAACATGGGAGATCTCAGTGCCAACCACTCATGCTGATTAGGAGCTTGTGATGCCAGAGAACTGAAGCAGACCAAGCATGCAGCCAAAAACATGTCGGCAAAACCAAAGAAAAGTTCGACAATATATATGAGCCAGGGCAGAGGATAATAGGAATGGTTCAATTCTCAAGATTTAACGCGATGAAACGTTTTTAACCTGTCGTGGTGTACAAAGAAAAGCTGGAAGACGTTGACATATTTCACAACATCCAAAATTTGCCAACCTGTCACCGCCAATTCAGAATTTTAAGTCGGAACAAACGTCTTACTAAGTACGGTTTTGAAGTTTGATTTTGAGGCTGCGGAATTTGCAGCATACCAAGTTTGTGTCCCTGGTTTATACAACAGACGGCGACCCAAATGAGACTGACACAAAATTAAACAATGTTAGCAGGGCTCTCCAGCAAGAGCAAACGCGCGAATACAGAGCAGAGCAGAGTGCAGCGTGCCCCTACTTGGTATCGGGGAGCATGTCAATGTAAGCGTCCCCCCTGAGGAACAGGTACAGCATGAAATAAAGACACAGGACGACACAGCACAAGTAAAAACACAAGATTCCTGGGTGGACAACTGAGAATAATACGCATAATTATCTGATTAGATATTTCTCAACAACCAGTGGCAAGGAATATCATATCACAACATCTGTGCAGAATAATGTGAATAATGTGAATAATGATCCTTTCTAGAAAGCAAACTTTAAAGAACAGCAGGTTTTGGGCAAAAAAGAAAAACCTGAAGAACTAAATGCATTAATCTGATCACTAACTTGTTCCAAGCAGCAGCAACACTGCACAATCAAATTTAGATGATGGAGATAACAGCTCATTAAAGATTTAGCAAATTTATTAAAGAAAAGGTCACTGACTTGTCAAGGACATCCAGCTGCAGTATATAGGGATAGAGAGAGAGAGAGAGAAAGAAAGAGAGGGAGAGTGAGAGAGAGGGGAAAAAGGATGAAAAAATCAGTCTTGAGAAATAATGCATATAAAAAGAGTATATGAGGCAGGAATCAGATACAATGGGATGCAGAAAAAAGGCAGATTACGAGGAGCGCGTCTTGACAAAGGTGACAGGCTCCCCCACGTCATTCTCAATCACAAGCTACTGAAGTGCCCTAAACGAAACCCCCAGCCCCCCAGGAGTCACACATGCATTTCAGAAATGATCTGACTCCTCTGATTTAGAGTTTGCACAACCCAGTCCACAAAACTGCCGACATTATAGAAAATCTAGTTAAACTGGGTTTATTTCTGCCCCTTTCTTTTTAAACAAGTGTCTGGCCTGTTTTCTGCACAATACTTCAACCTGCATGCATTTCACATCAAAAGCAATATCATCTTAGTTTCCCCACACAAAGCTGATCCATAATATTTTGGGAATTCTATCGGCACGAGATGGGAACAGCGCATGCTGGCCAAGTCCTCGATGAAAAGCAGCACTGACACTGCAAGGCAGAGCACTGACCTTCTGGCTACCTGCAGCTTCTGAAGACATTCTCCTTTCCTGATTTTTTTTCCCTCCTCCTGTTTTTGTTTGTTTGATTTGTTTTAATGTCCAAAAATATCCTTATGGTTCCCCTAACCTGGTACTTATCAATAGAGCAAATCTGGGTTCTCCTTTTCTGTCCTTAAATAAGAACAGAGCTCCTCTGTCATTAAAGTTGAATTAAAAATGTTTAAATGCAGTCCAAAAAAAAAAAAAAAAAAAAAACTTCTAAACTACATGTACAAAGACAAAAAAAGTATGATAACTGTTATGAAACAAACAGGTAGTTGGATTAAAACCTGGGCTAATACCCTGGGCTGCACAAACAGATTTAGCTACATACGAGATGCACTCTCCAAGTAAGGCTGTTATGTGATCAAGCGCGCCTCCAGTAAAAGCACATTCAGGGCTCAGCACATTTTCGGGGCGGGGAGCACAGTGCACTAAAAACAGAAATGAGAAAACTCTGCCAAACGCCAAGCCCACTTAACCCTTTCCAGGACATACGCCTGACCAGAAGCACAGGCCCTTGGTTACCATTCTCCCGTTTGGCTCCCTGTTCATTCACTTCACGACAGAAACAAGATACACGTGTTATACAAATGTTTCCAGCCCTGCATGAGAATAATAATAAAGGAAAGATATAAAAGAGGGGAAAAAGGAATCAAAGATGCTCACAGTTCATACAAAGTTCTTAAGACGGATATCCAAGAAGGATAACTGGTCAGACCTTTAGGTCATCAAATGTGAACGCATGTCGCACTGCTGACACTAAACACAAATCCACTAACTCTACAGCAACAGCGTGAAGAGAGAAAACCACACAATTTAAAAACATTCAGTGTTAATAAGCATTAAACAGCTCAAAAACACCACAGCTATGACCATTTGTTCTATTTAATTATCATTGGAAACCATAATCCAATCTTAACTGGTTCGTGTCAACACAAAGGGCTGTGGGGGAGGGGTACCAGCACATTCTGCAGGGCACCCAGACTCTGCTGAAAATTGGGCTTGTGGTGGCCCTTTACGGGTCCGAAACCTTTGCCGACATCATGAAATTTGACTTCCTCCAGGTGGAACAGTTTTCTCCTTCACCATTCCCACATATGCAATGGAACCAGCACATGGCCACACCTGCAAGCGTCCCCTGGTTTCAGTGAGGCTTGAGTTACCTACCCGTTATGTGGCTGAAGCACACTGACCAAGGCCCTGGAGCCCAGGTCGAACTTTGGAGCGCAAGCAATGGGTTTGACCACCGCTTGTGTGCTGGTGTTGCCGCCCCCAGCACCGAATGGCCGAGCCATCTTGTTTAGGGCTGTGCTGGGTGCAAAGGAATACTTTGGCTGATTGGTGGTGGATGGAGGTGCGGCCTGAGTAAGGGAGGGGGGCAACAAGGGGCACACGAGCAACACCATGCGGTTAGACATGGCACACAGACAAACCAAGGCTGAGCAGGCCAGCAAGAACATTTCAGTCACTTTATTCCTTTAACAAAGGTGAAGATGACATGTTGTGGGGTTCTGTTCTTCAAAAAAAAAAAAAATCAATAAAAAGTCAACTGTAAGGTCTGGTAAAGTAAGAAACCTAAAACCTGTCTCGTGATTAAATTTCACGATTTCTCACACTTGTCATCCTTCAAATTTGTTCACACTAAGGACACACAAAGGGTGCACGCTGGATGCCTGCCTGCCAGATGTTCAGGTTGGGGAGCTACCAAGTCAACTCGCTCCCCAAAACATCTGGTCCAGTTTAGGAGACCTGTGGCTGCCTGGGTATTCAAAACCTAACTGAGGAAATGGGGACTAAATTTGTCTTCTAAAAATAATTTTTAATATAGTGTTTGGAAAGAAGACGGATGTCAGAAGCTGGTGATTACGTCTTGAATGCTCCAGGTAGCTCCACGTCATAAATTAAAATGTCCTTCCATCATTTGTATTTCTGGCACTTCTATTAAGTTCTTGCAGCAAACAGGATGCACATTTCTCAGGCATATGATTTTCCCTCAATTTCTAAATTATTTGTGCAAAAAACCCCAGTTCTGATAATGTTAGACCATGTAGCTCTCCAGATCTTTTTTGTCAGGTACCAACTGGCCTTAATCAATGGGAACAGTCGACTCACAATAATGGACGAGTGCCCAATCAAGTTCAGTGGATTCTGAGAAATACGCAAAAGATTCCATTCAAAATATTCCATTGCAGCTGTTTGCAGAAGCATTCATTCCACAAATGGTACAGAAAATGGTGACTAATGCTTTGACAGTGATATTCAAGATGGATTTTTACATGCAGACAAAAATGGTTACATCATCTTCCTCATTTCATGGAAACAGTAACAAAAAAATACTATGAGTAGGTTTTCAGAGTATTGAGTATTCGGAATATGTAGTTATGGTTAAGGATGCTGTATTACTCAACTGAAAAAGACGACTGGTAAATAAAATGTGTTTTTTATTATTCAAATTTTCCAAAATTATATAAAGATCTGGAACTAATGTGAAGACGTTTGCATTCAGATGATGATGTGTAAAGAACCCATGTGTCTTAGCATGTACGTTTCCTGTTGCTTACTTTGTGAAAGCATTAATCGACCTTCCTCTTCACGAGGTGAGATTTAGTTAGCAGTCTTACCTTCTGTTCCGTTCCTGATCCGAAAGCTCTGCAAGAGAAAGTTGGGACTGAAATGAGAAAATGATCATACTCCCTTCCCCTAACATTAGCTTAACATTTCAGTCATAAGGATAGCGTACCACATTGTGAATGGAAAACGAGAAAATTCAGTTCTGACTGTACTTTTTATGTCACATTTTCATAGCAGTTCATATTAAAATATCAGTACAACACAAGAGAAAAGTGTTTGTCTATAATAGACATTTAACTAGGGAGATATATCAGGTATAATCTTCCATTTGAGAAAAAAAAGGCAGTAGGTTTTATGGACCAAATAAATAATCTGAAGAAAACAGACCCATTGTGGTGGATACAGTCATTAAAGTAAGGAACACATAGGGAGAAAAGGAAGGATTCAATGGCTGGGTGACTTTACATGATATTCTAGCCTTGTGTTATATTTAGCAGCTCTCACTGCCGTTGCATAAACAGCAGCATTTTGAAAGGCGACACCAGGCTGGTGAAGGTGTTCGTGGTCATTTTGCAAATTGCAGTTCAGGTGATAGAGCCGTTTAACCACCACTGCCAGTCCTTCAAGCCAGCGCTCAAAATGAGAATGGGCTCCAGCTTTCTGAATTATTCTGACAGATCTTTTAAAAAAAATCCCTCTTGCATGCACCAGTTCGCTCATGCATGGAGACAGGTGATTCCAGAGAGAATTAATATATGGGACGTGTGACATTAACTCATCTGAATCCAGATGAGGCAGAGAGTGATGGAACTGCCATAAAGGGAAATTCAGACAAAATGACTTGAGGAAGAACAGGAGCAGAATCACTACAGATATCTGACAGGATTAAACAGCAGCCCCTGAGTGCACAATATCCAGAATCTTCAAACACAAAAACAGCCCTTTTTTTTTTGGGACAATTTAAAAGCAAGGTGCAGGTATTTGAGAGTCACATCCATGCTTTCTGCTTCCTATTGGTCTATCAGTAAGATACATATTTATTTTTTAAACAAATGGGCAAGGAAGTTTTTGAGATGCACACAACGAAGTAATGCGCTCTCAACTGTAAGTGATCTGATTGTTGTAGAAAACCCACAGCTTTGTGTGCCAGAGAAGGAGCCGGAATGCTGAGCTCATTCCACCCCCCCTGACATACAGCACACTTATACTAACAGGTACGAAATGGCCGCCAGGATGTTATGGACTGCAAGCTCCACTGGCACCATAATTTTAAACGCTAGAACCTGAACCACAGTACATTTATTTCCCCTAACAGATACATCACTTTTCCAAACCAGTAGTGCAGGACATAGTCATGGTACATCATTTGGAAATGAAGTCAGCCAGCTCAGATTGATATATGCTGAAATTAACAAACAAGCCTAAAGAAAAACACAGTCCTATACTCTTGGGGGAAAAAGCAGAGTCACGTCTGTGTTCCTAAAGCCCTTAAAATGACTATTTAAAGCAAAGACATCTGCTTATCTCAGTTCTTTCCAAAAATGTTCTAAGCACCAAACAATATCCTTGCATCACACACAACCCCATTACATCACAGCGTAAGAATGTCGTTAATGGCTGCAGTGCTCATACCCACTGCTCAAATGCAGTGTCAGCCTACTGAGATCTGTTGACCAATAAACTGTTAAAATCGGTGTCTTTCTGCCATGGTTCTGAGGTTTTTTTCCCCATTGCCCCCATCTGAAAACAGCATTCTGTTTTCTGCACCTCATGTTATGTAGATGCATCGACAGCAGGTTTAACACCTTGGTGCTGTTTGTTTTGTGCATCAGCAGAAGAAACAAATTCAAATTCAGATAACGTCACTGTCACAAGGATGCATCTTGGTTCCTCCTCAAACACTAATCCTATTTTATAGCCGACCTCTTTGTTGTGTGCCACAGATCGTGTTGCCTGTCTGGAGAAGAGACAGGCCTGGATGATCAAGTGCGAGATCATAGGTTTGTGGTGACAGTCGGCATGCCGTAAACAGGATGCTGAACATGGCTTATTTCTCCTTGTGACAAGCTGGACGCGTCAGCCTTATCTCCCGCATCCCAGCAGAAAGTGAGTTCTTCATGCATGCCGCAGATGACGCACGAGAAGGCCCAGCTCGATAAAGGAGAGAAGGAACGAGGCGTATCTGTTTCCTGGGGGCTCTGGCTTGCTCAAACTGCTGAGCATAGTAAGCACAAGAAACGCCTGCAATATGTGCTGGTCCTCACACTGATACTCAGGTTAGAATATAAAAGCGCTGCTTTAAGAAGGCATTGTGAGCGCTGGAGTAACTTGAGGAAACGTATGAAGAATCCTGTTATAGCCAGTACAAGACCTGGGACATACTCTGTGCTTATGGTTAGTGTTACACATGCTGCGTTTATGTAGCTGATGTTCTCATAAAGACCCCCCCATCACCCATAAACTATAAACACGTCTGCGGAAATGTTCATTTTCCTGATTAACATTTCAAATGGAAGTACGGTTCTTCAGCCAATGAACACTACTGCGAACACCCAGAAAAGGGTCACGCATTTCCATAAAGAAATAGGAAATCTATCACTGATTCAAGGTCTCTCAAGTAGAAGTGGAAAAGGACCAAATTTTACTACACATTCAGAAGAATATATCACACCTTGCATGGCTTTCTCACACACCTTCAGTTTCAATGAGAATATTATGTTCTCATCCAGAGTTTACTTGTTGTACAAGTCAGTACAAGATTATACTTGTTTTTACTTAAATGTTGTATTATTTTTAAAGTTCAGCATTTTACGCACATATTAGAAGATGAATCCTTCAACCACCTGAAAGACATTTTTCCTAACTTTTCCTGTGGGTTTCAATTAAGTCACAGATTCAGTACTTCAAGTTAGGAATAACAACTTTTCTGGATATTGGAAGAATACAGTACAAAGAAAAGTACAGTGACTTGAATTACATTTGGCGTATGATATATGCGTTAATAATAAGCGTACACATTTAGCAATGGGATCAGTATAGGGTATTATGTTGGAGTTGCAACGGAAACAAAGAATTAATTCTGCTTGGAACAAACCCAGTTTTAAATTCAAATTTCTGCGCTGTTCCACTCAGTTTTTTATGAGTGGCTAAGTACATCTTCAAATTACTAGTGATGCTGCAAAGCACTGAACTTAACAGTTTAAACAACACAATATGTATGTTTACTAATAACAGAAGAAGCTTTTTGTACTTTGTGTCAACGTGAGATGATGGATTGACCCTCACACATGACTGCTCTCAGTTATACTATTCCTATAGCAGGTACCTTAAGTTACCACATGACTGTCAGTCTCACCAGACACACATCTCAGAACTCCGGCGCAAAATGACTTTACAATCTGTTTTCAGCTACAACTGACAACTTCTGCTGATCTGCCATTTTATTCAGCAAATATTTAACTAAAGTTAATGCCACATTCAGAAAAAAAAATTCCTAATCTTCCACTTTCAGGTGGAAGTTTTAAATTAACAAGTCAAACACAGGACCTTAAAATGCAATTTATAAACAGCAATTAGGCACCACAAATTGCACTGAACTTGGTATTGTATTGATTAGCGCGGGAAGCGTGCGATATCTAAAATGACCATTTTAATTAACCCATTCCCATTGCCAATAAATGAGGAAAGAAAAAAAATGAATGAAAAAGCAAAATATAAAATGGGCTAATTATCCTTTTTTCCACTTTATTGTAAGTTTTAAATACCTGCTAGTTAAAGGCACAAAAATCAACCAGATTACTGACAACAAACTGTTAAACTGGACTCTGATGAAGGAAAAATCAAGAAGTACTGCATATTTGTATTAGTCAGTGCATCACAGGGGTCGCATGAGATTTTCTTTTGTGATTTCATTACATTTAAGTCGCCATGGCAAAGGAGCGGGCCTTCACTGAATGTGCAAGCAGAGCCATGGATGACAACACTGGGCCTTTAGCTGCCATATTCATTAAAATAAAGAGGGCAGAGGCTTATTACCCACAGTTTTATCGTCATTATACTTCATGCGCTCTCCTGTCCAGAGAGACTGATAGACTGCAGAGATAAAGAATCCCACTAGTTTCAATCACCAAATGTAAGATTTCTCAGCAACTTATGACCTACACCTCAGTCCTTCCTATTATCATGCTGCTCATATTTGACTTCAATCTAGCAGCAGCTGAAGCACAAACACCAATATGCAACGACAATTTTTATTTCGTTACAGGAACATACACATTTCCTGTCATTTCCTTACATTGCTTTGCCGGAGGGTTGCGGTGAGTAAATCACCTTTGACGTGCAATAACCAAATTGAATTCTTGGCAGTCTGTATGTTGGCTCTCTTTAAGGAAAACTCAGCGGCCAAGGCAGAGTCTTATGAAAGGATGAATGTAAAACGGTCACATGAAAATTGGACAAATTAAAAACCATCCAAACATTCACTGAAACACTAATCTGATGTACTAATGGAAAAATTTTTGTTCATATGGATCTTGGGAATCTATCATCATTACTTTGTAATCCTTACTGCCAGAGGGAACCTTTAAGCCAAGAAATTTTAATAATGCTTTTGCCGTGAGTGAATAGTGGAGGGTGACAATACCACACTACCGGAAAAAGTACCAATTTATTTCTTTCAGGGTACACCTACTTGTCACTGGGGCTGTACCCTTAACAAATATTAAAAATTCATTAATATAAAATATATATTTTGTCAAGTTAAAATTATTTTTTAAATTTCTACCACAAGACCGAGGATAAGCCAGCAACAGTCAGCATCATTTCCTTATAGGGGATCTTGGGGTATGTTCTATAATGAGCTCCTTGCACCCAATGCTCTGCATTGCTTGTTTGTAGATGGAAACAAAACTGAAAAAAAACTATGTGTATTCTGTCACTACTGATTTTATAAGTTCAGCACAAATGGAGTTGTTTGTTTTTGTTCGTGATGAAATGACAAACTAAAACGAAACAGGCCCCCTGATCAGAAATTAAATAACATGCTCTGAATCTTCACCCCTGAAAACAAAATAATGACAGGGAAGAGGATACAACTGACACAACAGATACTCTCAGACCAGTATAAATCACTGGGCCTGCAGGTATGCAATACCTTGGTTAATCAGAGCATATTTACTGCATGAGTAAACAAAGACATCAGGTAATTGACCATATAAGATTATTCCTCCCCAAAAGGTAGAGTACTGTGCTGCTCATTTCCAATCCTGCCAAGTGTAGAAACGACTGTACAAAATCCTGACGACAAACTGCACACTACAGGTTCTTAGAGGTCTTCCAATCGTTAGAAAATAATGAGAAATATGTTGTTATCTGGGACTGGGGCCCTGTGTTTAGTCCTAACAAGGTAGCAACTATTAAGTCAAAAAGTGAAAAGATTTGTTGATTTATGCAAACAAGCAATTATTAAATATCCTGCGTAAAATGACCTTTGAATTAGTAATATAATTAATCCATATTTTAAGCTTCCCTACGTTGGTAGTTTAAGGTCGCATGACTGATGCTGTCACTGCTTACATTTCTCGATTTCACTCAACAGATCAACGATTTATGAAGTGCTGTTCATGCATCTTCGCAATGATCGCTACAGCTGTCCCTATCATGTGGCTTTTATTCATATAATTAGCTATGGTGAGCTAGCACCATAGCCTTTAAACAATGCCGCCTATGCCAATTACAATGCACTGACAGCTATGGAGCGTTGAGCTGTTAAGCAGCATAATGTCTACATGAACGGCATGCACCCCTGCAGAGAGGCAGGCAGTGCACTGCTGAAATAATTTTAGGTGGTCATCCAATGTTCAATCAACACCACAAACAGCAATACTGTTAAAAAAAAAATCGTTCATATTCAATATTACTTTGGACACTGAAATATCTCTATTTTTAAGAACAATGAAATATCCCCAAGGCCTAACAGTAAAGGTAAGAGTGACGTCGACAAGGCGGCTTATTTTATCATCATAGTTCCACACACTCATCCCTCCACTAATTCTCTGTAATGCTAACCAGATTGCATGGTGCTACAATGCATTTAGCTATAAACGCAAAACACACAGTTCCTCAGCCGTACAGGACAGAGCATGGAATCTGCATGACAAAATACTGCATAAAGAGGGAGATATTGTCTGAGTTTTGAATTTCAAAAGATATCCATTTTGTATCTCAGTTATGTTCCAGTTAATCTACTGGCCATTGCTCAATGGGTAGTTGCAAATTTCCCAAGAGACATTATCATGTTTTTTTTTCCTCCTTTTTTTTTCTTTCTTTATCCTTTCATATAGTACAAGGACAGGAGGGGGGTAACAAGCTTAGAATCTGCCTAAAGCACAGCTGAAAACACAGGAGCCCAGAAACAAGCAGACCATCCGCCCTAGCAGCAACGATTAGGCTGAGGTTCATGTACAAAGGAACAAGAAACAGGTAAATGAGAATCACAAAGAATCTCTCAATCATTTTGAATATCATGCTTTCAGAAGGGGGCTGGTCAAAATACTCAAAACAGTAACAATGTCTAATAGTGACAAGATAATCAATCAACAAGATTTTGTTAAGTTATTTTCTCTATCATCTTTCAAATCCAGATCAAGATCTCGTTTCTACCAACCAGTTGAGCATAAAGAGTCACAGGCAGAGGACTCACTTGGTTGGTAGAAACAAAATCTTGATCTGGATTTGTAGTTTCTGGACCTGAAATGCCCAACACTTGAAATTTTACAAGTTTAACATTATAAAATACTTCAGAATGCTAACCAGCGAGTTCTCTCACACGCACGTACACACAATAGACCGTAATTGCTCTGCACAGAGAAACACGAAAATATGCAGAGGAGCCACAACTAATCGCTTGCTATTGCTAATCACTGGAAGTGATTAGCAATACTAGCAATGTTGGAGACCAGTGGCCAGTACTACGAAGCGGGGTTACTGGCTTATCGGAGTAACTTGTCGGATTTAAGGCACCACAGTTTAAATGGACTTCATATTCATTCACTTACATTTTGCCCAGACTACCTTAAATCTGACAAGTTACCCAGATAAGCCAGTAACCTCCTTCGTAGTACTGGCCACAGGTGGCGTGGAAAAAGTCAGTCTGACTGAACAGTTCAATACGCTAGTTATTATTTATTTCCTTCTTGAAATAAATTTGTACTAAATTTACCTCTGGATAATAAGGCAAGAGCAGTGGCATCATTTATCAAAGTTTCCCCAGAATGAAGACAAAATGGGCTGGTCTTGGGCATAAAACCCTCGGGCTGAAAATGAGTCCCATTCTGTGCCTGCTCACCACCGTGATTTTCACAAGAGAAAACGTAGGTGCGATATGGCACAAGGTGTCTCACCTGCTGAGGGACAGAGTGAGGGCATCCGTCGCTGCTCTGATCTTGTTCTGTGCCTCCACATGAGTCATCTCCTCCGCTTTGGCGTCCCCGATAGACACCACGTAGTCCCCAACTCCCACACCCGCCTGGACTGCCTTCCCCCCCGGGGTGAGCTGTGGGTGAGATAAGAAAGGCAGTCGGCCTTTCCGTTACCCATATAAACTGAACCATCGCTATTCCCATTTCAACTTTAACACCAGGATAACGGAGTCCAATAGCAAAAGCCTGGATTTTATAATAGCACTTAACATTCACCACATCAATTTCAATACTGACCTATTCATCATCTGAACATCAAAATCATGTTACATTATTTAGTACATGTCAAGTTTAAATTTAAAAGTATTCCTCTGTATATTACTGAAATGAGTTTCGCCTTCTTAGCCTCACTAAGTCACCATGCTGTCAGTGGTGTAACAGACATATTGGACCTGGTCTTATCTTTGATTTATCCCACATGAACACAGACCTAGGCATGCGTTCTTTTGTGCTGAAGTCATCTTCTGCCATGGAACTTCCAGCTAACACCTTTACACATCAAATCAATACCAGGAGACCAAGTCCTAACTAATTTCCAGTCCTCATCTTTAAATCCAGCTGCCTCTATAGACTGCATAGCAATGTGAAATGACGATTACTCATGTTTACAGGAGTTACACATCACCTGGGACTTACTCTATTTCTTATTCAGGGAAAATTCACTTACTTCAGGTTTATCTGCTGTAGTTACTAGACTTCAGACCTATTACTGTTTAGCATCTTATCAGCTGAGAAAAGTGTTTTATAGTCTCAATGTGGCTTAATTGAGACAAATGGGGTCAGTGAATGGGTTCCAGTGCGACTCCAGTCTATCCAGTTCTATGCAGCCCAACTGTATAATATTTTGTGGCAAAAATGAACCCTGCTCCTCAAACTTCAGGAAGCCCCAGAGGACCCAGACCACACCAACAAGCATCAGCTGTGTTCTCCTTAATTAGTTGCTTCACTTTATTGATCCTCTTTGAATACCAACTCTGTCCACTTGCCTGATAATGATTTTCCAGATGGAAAAGATTATAGTTTGTAGACCCTGGTGTTTTGTAGGCTTCATACGTTTATATTATAAAAATCAGACCCCAGAATTTAGAATTCAGAAAAAAATGCCCTGGCATACTGGTTCTGACTTTGAATAAATAATTAAAAAGCTTCCAATATACTTTATAGACTTTAAGCAGCAGATTATTAATAACAGCAACACATATCATCACTTCACTTCAAAGTGTTCCATTTTCTTACTTGATTTATTTGATAACACAGATGGTGAAGTATCACCATTTTCCCCAGCAAGACCAAGAGAAATCGACCATCATTTTAGATCGCCTCACAGAACAAGGTCACTTGTACCTGTCAGGCTATACATGCACTGAAGATGGAAGCAAAGAATTAATGCACATTCATTAAAAGAAAGATAAGAACATGAACATATCAGAAAGATTAACACACAACATTTCATTCCCAGATTAGAATCCAACACCTCATGGGGGAAGACTCACATACAAAAGTTAAATTAACCTTTATTCTGCCTTCACCCACTTTAAATTAAATCCATTTAAAGCTGTACTACAATTACAGCAGCATCATGACCTCTTCCAGTATCCTGAGCAAAAATTTCTAACCTTGTCACCTTCTAACCTTCTAACAGTTTCGGTTAGACATTATTTAATTAAGTGCTGCAGCATAAACAGACAGACACAGGCTGGTAAATCCCAGGGTAACTAACCACTGCAGGTGAACAGTAAGAGATACTGAGTGAACAGTATAGCATTTTGGCATTGTGGGTAGGAGGGCAAAAGCCTTTGAGAAGCTGTGGGGTCTTGGAGGGGGGAAGCTCGGGTGCTGGAGGTATAGCATGGCAGGAAAGGTGACAGGCTGTTGAGGGACAGGAGCATCTGCAACCCTGGCTTGAGTTTTTAGCGCACAGCTGTTCCTCCATTTTGGTCGGAAGCACCAAAGTGCTGAGGTCAGGCCTTTTAAAGGGATAGAATTATCCTTCTGCAGGCAGTTTGACAATAAATAAGTTATAGTGGAAAACATTTTGGATTACAGAGAATACCAAGGGAAGGGGTCACCAGCAGCAATGAGCATTCGGATCCAAATCTAAATCTTTTTAAATAAATAAGCTACAGCACAGGCAGCTCTCAACTTGCGGAAAACCATCTTAAGTGAAAGCAGATAAAAGATATCGAAGATACGAGATATCCAAGTTACGGAACGCTAATGCAAAAAAGGCGACATATGCCTGTAAGTAAATTTACCCTTCATATTTTCATTTATTTCATTTGTGTACTAGTATATTTTTGGCTTGTGCATTTTTTTTAAGGTAGGATTCCTCAAATCCAGTCGTGGAGGGCCAGAATCCAACCCAGTTTGCAGATATCCCTGTTCAAACACACCTGTTAAACCTGGTAATTAGCTAATGTAAGATGCATTTAAGCAGGGAAATCTGCAGTCAGTGTTGGACTCTGGCCCTCCAAGACCGGATGTGGAGAATCCTGCTATTGGTCTTGAAAGGTATGGGAATGTAAATCTGATGATGTATATTTTGACTTACGAAAGGGTTTGTGGAACGGATTTTTACATCACTCGTGAACTGTGTGTACTTATGAAATTATACAAGAACAAAGCCACAACATGGGTTTAATTCTCAAATATACCAAATACATATTCATTTTAAGGATGAGCATTATGAAAATACCGGTAATAAACAATATCAGACAAGTAACCCAGTGTTGATATCTGACAGTGACTAAGTGATGATTATTGCTTTGTCAGGGAAGTAGGCTTAGAATACACCCAACGCAAGATAAAGATTTATGATTTGGCTTCCAGTTTAACCATCTGTGCAGTTTAAAAAACACTTTCAAATTCCAACTCCCATTAAAATGAATGAGAAAAATGTTTTGAATCTCACTAGCTAAAATAGATTTTCTGATATCACTGAATTCATGATATCAGGAATTTGCACTCCACCTACTTAGAGCTGAATTTGTGATATCCCTTGAAATGGATTTAAGTTAAAATGACTTGCCATACATCACCAATTTCTACCTTGCAGTCAGCAGCCAAAATGCCAGCCATTCAAATGCAACTTCCCAGCTGGAATTCTGAAGGCCCCAACTTGTATGGGTGGTCAAACCATACAAGAGCTGGCCAGTTAATTCCTTTTCAAGATAAGGAAACTGCAGACAACCTTGCTAGCCTAGTCATGAATTCCCTCTTTGAAATGATCTGCATATATGGGAGGGAATGATCTTCACACGATATAGCTAAAACTTGATTAGGGAAAAAAAAAATCCTTGTGGTGTGCAGACAGTAGCATGCTGGCAATTAAAATGCTGTGTCCTGTACAGACCTGCAAAAAAACGCGATGTCCCCAATTTTTTATATCCCACTGCATCCTACCTCCAAGATCGACAAATTTTATCTTGGGGTACTGATGTTACAACCCATCACCAGGGTTATATTCATGGCCAGTCAATGGACAGTTAAACAGACTGAACAAACACAAGAAGTTAAAACATCACAAATGATTAGAAATTAATACAAACAGGCAAAATAATGCCTTACGTTTAGTTTTGGGGGGGAAAAAAAGTCTCTGACTTTTCTAAAAACCTCAGAAAGCCAGGAAAATGATAAATATGCAAAAGGAGGTTAAAAGGAGGACAAAACAACAAAACGTGTTTAACAGCCAAAGGAGCATCACATGCAGGCCATACAGGTGGATCTTCACTTGTAAGTAAGAAGATGTGGGTCAGCCCGTATGCCCCTACAGCTGACTCTGCGTGCTTCAATAACATTGTTTCTCTCATTGCTTTAAATTAAAACATTGCATATTTTAGATACTGTCCAGCCCTATTGCCCACACAAATTTACATTGTCCGTTAAGATAATAATCTAATGGACACAGCTAAACCACACAATATTAGCGTACACATATTGCATAACGCTAAACATAATGCGCTGTTTTCTTCAATATTATTTTTTGTTTTGCTAAAAGAACATTACTAATTAAGTTACTAAGGTAGAGGGGCAAAAGGTTTGTTTTTCCATTCCCTCATCCAGCAGATGATTCTCAAAGTTGGCCATGTGCCTTTAACCCTTCTCCCAAATGACTTGCTTCCTGGGTAATGCACTTGAGTTACGTCATTTCAGGTGCTTGCAAATCCCATCTTGGAACAAGAAAAACTTACCTGCTGTTTTGCAATAGCTGATATGCTACAGAAGAAATGCGCAAAGTGCATGGTGAAATGAGAGATCAGCGTGACAAGTACAGACAAGCCCCCGGGTGAAAACCCCAACACCAGTTATGAGAGAATTCCTTTGCAATGATTATATGGTTAGATTTGTTAATCAACACACACACGCACAATTTCCGGTCCACCCTACAAAAATTGCACAAGGTACATTTTAAAACATAATACTGCTGGTGTTTGCCTTTTAAAATCAACAATATTTTATGGATCACCAGCTGCATATATGCACCCAAATGTCTTCTGTCAACTTTTAAAGACAACGTTAAGTATCTTAGATGGGTTTCTCTTTTACACATTAGCCAAACTCTATCTGCAGAAGTCAGACAACCACACATAACAGTCTGCAAGAAGGGGTCTTTAATCGGAGCAATGGTCTCCATATGCAGTCATTTTTCATGTACAAGTGTAAACCAGAGAGTTTTTGAAACCCATAAAGAAATTATGGCAGGTATTATCATCCATCTTTTATCTATAAAAGTCTCAAGTACCGACTCCAGGGTTTCTATATTGGTAGTGTGCCTTTGCTTTTTGATGTTTTTATTGAGTAAAGAATTCCTTACAGGAGCTTGATTCTTTAGCTTAGAAGGTTGTGGTCAGTTCTAGGACAAAAAACATGATAGATCCTGGCTCAGAGCAGACGCATGGGGCTTATCTGTACCCCATACAGGATGTCACTATCAATAACTCCAGAAATGGAAGAAACATTGTGATATCCACTAACCGAAGTAGTAGGGGTTCCGTATCAGAACTAAACACACATACACAGACAGCTTCTCAGTTTCTACCCAAGGAGTTAAAAATTTTAAACCAGAACAACACTA